AAAGTGCCCGAGCCTGTAGTACTGGGGCTCCCTGTACTGGGGCCAAGAATTGTTGGGCCAGAGGTGAACTGTTGGGGTCCCTGTACCAGGGCTGTCAGTGATTGTGCAATTGGACTGACCATCGTGGGGATCACAGTGACGGGTTTGGCCATTGTGGAAATAAAGCCCCAAAGTTTGTTTGAGTGCTGCTCCGGTCCTGAATCTGACGACCTCTGATGGATTTGGTCTGAAGGAATTGGTGTGCTCCTTGAGGATATGATGGGCCTCTGTGTCGGAGTGCTGCTGCTCCGGGCCTGATTCTGCAGTTCCAGAAACTGTTGTGGATCTCTTCAATGCGGAGTTGATCGGCTCCTTTGAGATTTGCTGGGCCACTTTGTTGGAGTGGCTGCACTGACCATCGTGGGGATCGCAGCGACAGGGTCGGCCGTTGTGGGAATTCCAAGCATGCTCGAGGCTTCAGCTGTTGGGGTGTTGGTACTGGGCGACAGTGTCAACTGGAATTCCCGTGCTCGGATTCTCAGTTTGTTTGTCACAAAGATTAGTAGTTGTTATTTTTGTCTACTGCGCCGAGGGCTTGCTTTTACTTCACTCAGAATGACAAGGGGCGCTACTGGCCCCTTGTTCGAGTAGAAGGGTCACGGGCACGCTAAGGCCCTTAAGGGTGTGTCATGCAATGTTGGTTCTGTAGGAGTGCACGCTAAGGCCTTCCTTGTAGTGTGGCGCGCTAAGGCCATGTTCTAATGTTGTTGGTTGGTTCTGAGGAGGTGGTTCGAGGGATGGGAGATGGAAAGGCTAGAGTCGGCCCGTAGCACACCATTGATATAATCTTGAATGCCTTCTGTCTTCAGTGATTTGGTGGGCGCGTCTAGTTTCCCTATCGCGTATAGTATGTATCCCTTGGAGCCAAGACTGTTTGTAGGGCTTGGATTTGGTGAGGAGAGAGATGAGTGAGTGTTTGAAGTAGTTGTGATAACAGGAGGGGAGTCCCCTGGTACCTTTGATATACTCAGTGGCAATAGCTTGGTGTAACAGGTTGAGGGCTAGTTTCTGACGGGGCATTTTGTCGTCATGTAGAATCTTGTTCCGATGTTCCCATAAACTCCAGGCCATCATGTGGGTTTTGCGAAGGATTTTGGAAGTCCAAGTGGTACCAGTGATGGAGTATCCTTCGCGTTTGTAGAAGGAATCCATATACTGGGCAAAACGAATGGAGGGGAGACCTTCCAAGAAGTTCTTCCATCCGATTCGGTCCTGAGAGACGATAAGTTGAGTAAGGGTGACAACTACTCCAGTGCCCTGGAGTACTGCATTCATGCTGGCCACAAAAGCAATTGAATCGGCTGCTCCTGGAAGTGGCAGACCAGGGGCAGCCTGCTCGGTTTGGATTCGAAGCCCAATTTGTGGGCGGACTTGCTGAAGCCGCCGTCTGGTATACCATGCTTCTACTCTAACATCCAAGATTTGTGGATCACAGACAGCTGGATCTAAATTTTGATACACAGTCTCAACTGCTGAGGTCACTTGGTCATTCTGTAACACACTGGTGCCTCCTTCAAGTGATAAGTAATAAATTTCATCGTAGGTAGTGAAAGGCAAGCTGCACACCTCATTTGTTGGTGAAAACGTGGGTGGTTCGGATGTGGGCAGACGAGTGGGTGGTTGAGTTGTTGGAGAAAGAGTGGGTAGTTGAGTCATAGGAGATTGTGTTCTCTCTGTTGGCTGGAGTGATATAATAACAGAGACCTTTGCAACTGAAGCTGTTCCCACAGGCTGGGGTATTGATGGCTGGGGTGCGTTGGTATAAGGGATACTTTGGCAACAGCTGAAGCTGTACCCACAGGTTCGGGGGTTGGCTCAGGTGAAAGCACAAGCGACACAGTGGCAATTTGGTTGGCGCTGATAGGATAAGTAGTAGGGGCACTGATTGTTGGAGTTTGTGGTTGCTTACTATTAGACCCGGTTGAGACAACTGTAGCTCCAGCTGTTTGGTCAGGTGTCCGCTCAAATGTGGGGTCAGGCGTGGGCTCTCTTGTAGGCTCAATGGATGGGTCAAGGGTAGGCTCTGGTGTAGGCTCAATAGATGGATCAAGGGTAAGCTCGGGTGTTGGAACAGGTTCAGACTCTTCATTTTTAGGAAGAAAAGTAGACTCAACTTGGGGGGCAGTCGTAGGTTCGGCTGTTGGTACAGGTGAAGGCACAAATGTGGGGACAGGTGTTTGATCTGATTGCTGGGGTGCTATGTCCAATGTCACACTGGCAGTTGAGGTTGCTAATGATGACACAGGTTGGAGGGTTGGTCCAGTGAAGGTTGGTTCTAGTGTGGGCTGCACTGTTGGCTCAAAGGTGGACGCAGAAGTTGATGTTGGCTGTGGTGAGGGGTTCAGCAGGGAAGCTGGATGGGTTTGGCTTGTAGGTTCTGCTTCTCCATCTCTCAAAGAATCCAGTTCTTGTGTTTCTCCTTCAAATGCAGGTACCCTATTGGTGCCTCACTATCTGGTGATGGATCTATGAGACCGGCGATCACACCTTCCAAGATCAGTGAACACTGGGCCGATGACAATGAATCGCCATCCAAACACCTCAATATTTCTTCTTGATCAATTGGGCCCAATCTGGCACAAAAATTGGAGGATTCCATGCTGTTGCTGGTTTCCAGACAGTCTACAATTGCGGTAAGCTCTTCTACCATGAACGGTGCTATAACTTCCCCCCAGAAGCCTGTACAAACTCCTCATATTCTTGAATGTCTTGTTCGTCAAGGGATGCAATAGTCAGCAGTTCTTCCATTGTTCCATTCATTTCTGTTTACTCTCATGTGAGCATCAGCGACTTTGATATGGCCTGTGTCACCCGAATCTTGTCCCAATGACTGTCCAAGGTTGTATTGGTCATGTTCAACTCATTTGAAATTGATTGGACAATTGAAGCAAGATGAAACTCAAAGCTTGCAGCAAACACAGAGAAGAACTCATTATAACCCAGGTTCACTCCCACTGGGTGTAAGGACGACCTTGAATAATTCCCTGCTGAATTGCTGGTGGTGGTGGTGTCATTTTCCCCAAGAGAATGTTGGAGTATTCGTTTCTGAAGGGAGGTAGTCATAGCTGTCATTCTGGTATGATCAAACAGCGGCTCTAACTCCGGACACCCAGTGCAGGAAACTTCTGCTCTCCAGTAGGTGATGGTTGTTGTCGGATGTGTGCTGCGGTTGCTGAGATCACTGATGGAAGAATTTTCTGATGCTGTCGTATTTTTGTATTCTTCGAGTAGAGAAACAGTTTCCCAGTTCTCCAAGGTGGCATTCCACAAGACCCGGTCAAAAGGATCAAGACACATCCCGGTCAAATTATTGTAGACAGATTGAAAGAGAAACTCCAATTCTTCTTTAATTTCTGGCTGTGAAGATTCATTGCCGGAAAAGGGCAAGCCTTCAATGTGTATATCCGCGAAACCAGTCCAAAATGTTCTGGCATCACTTGAGCAATTTGGCAATATTACAAGGGGAAGGGTTGGAACCACTTCCTGATGCCCAGCATTGGGGGTAACAGAAACACCTGTGGAAACAACGGCTGCAGCTGCCACACCTATGGCCACACCTGAGTGAAAAGGGGGAAACTGTTAGTCGGGATAAGCTGAGTGAAGTCCCGGCCAACGTTTCTCAAATTAACACGTACCAACTTGACTGGCAGTACCAGCAGATACAACGGCACTAGTGAGATTTCCCACAAAAAATAATAATCTTTATAACGGATATGGCCCCAATGGACAGATCATCACTGTGCTGCAGCCGAAGCTTTGGGTAACCGCTCCCGGCCGAAGCGGGGATTGGTTTCACAGGAGACCACCACTGGTTCCCTCACCGGCACCACACTCCCTAGGGGAGATGGTGCATTTAAAGTTACATGTAAATATAAATGTCATATCTCGTGTGGATTTGCCGGACATATATTCTTAACGGATTTGTGGGTTTGGCCAAATGGATTCAGGGAGAGTTACTGGGTGGGTTGGGTGGAGGGGGAAAAGGAGGGACAGAAGCGGACGCAGGAGGGAATTGGGAGGACGGGAGGTGGAGGTCCCGCGTCAATTACCCAGTCTCAAGTTGTGTGGCGTAACTCTCTTCAAGGACTGGTTCCCATGTGTTGATCCATTGCCAGATTGATGCTGTGGGCCATTGGGATCGTGTGTTGATTGGTGTTTGAAGAAGCCATACCTGTTCTGGTCTGAGGTTTCCGGTGTATTTGTCATATAGCAGCTGAAGTTCATGGATAGTCTGTCGGTTGGCTGCTTGTGCCTTGGTTTGTGCGTCTTTGCCATGCCGATCATGATTCCTGGCCTCCCAGAGTTCGAACCACTGGGTGAGCAATTCTTGAATAATCCCTGTCAGCCAGGTTTGGCCATTTTTCCGGTGTGTTTTGATATCGCATTCCTTGAGGTGTTGATCCTGGCGTTGCACCCACTGTTTGGATAGTCATCCCTTGAGGAGCTGATCCCAACCGATGGCTGTTTGGGCGTTTGCGATATCGGCAACACTATCATCGTATTCAATTCCTGTGGTATCTTGTCCATCGAGTACTTTCTGGCGTGCTGAGAGAAGAAGTGTTTGGAGCATTGGGTGAGTGTTGTGCTTGTCGGTGTCTTCTTAAGTGCCTTTTTCTATGCCGTTCGTTCCGATTGTCGCTTGGGAAATCTCAGGACGTGTTTTCTATTTTCTTCTGGGGCTCCACAGGACGCGCATGCAATGGAATATTTGGAGTGGTATTTATTGACACGTTTACCGACGGGGTGCCAATTGCAAACGTACTTGGTGAGGGAGGTGCGATGGTGATCCAAGCGATTGAGTGCCCTCTCATGGCATTTCCAGTGAGAGTTCCCACAATACCTGATGCAGTGGCTGCAGTGGCTGCAGTGGTCGTTGCCGATGCAGTTGCTGCCCCAGTGGCCCCCGCCGCTCCTTGTGCTGCTGACGTTGCCATTTGCACGCCCACAATGGCAGTGGTTTGCTAAGCTGCTGTGGTAGTGGATGTAACAGTGGCACTGGCAGCTGCATTTGTTGCGGTAGTAGTTGTGGTAGTAGTAGCAGTGGCAGTAGCAGTGGCAGATGCTGTGCCAGAAGCAGTTCCGGCAATATGCCTCGAGGCAGCTGTTATTGCAGTGGGATCAGCCAGCATGACATCATTAACATCAACAGCATCCATAGCAAGCTCAAGAATCTCTTTTGTGGAGCATTTCCATCGACTTCTGCTTTGACATACTTGAGGCATTTGAGTATATGATTGAAGCAGCCAAACATGTGTTGGAGCAAATCATTTTTAATCCAGCCTACTAACACTGCCAAGAAACCAGTACCAATAGCAGCTTCTCTCATTTCTACGCTATCCATGGAATAGGAATCATCCTCAAAGCTGCCCATGTCATCATCCATGACTTCCTGATGTCCTATCCCATCATAGTGGCATCCTTCCTTGTCGTTGTTGTCATCCTCCTCGTCCTCCACCAAATGCGTGTCAGCAGGAGAATATGTGGCAAACTCTCCCTCTATGTCATCATCATTGGAAAAGAAGGAGATGCCACTTGGGACAGAGTGACCCGATTCCATGATGATGTGACGGTCATCCTCTTCTTCTTGACTGCGGTGACGGCTGTCTCATTGTGTGGCCATGTTAACAATCAATTGAATGGAAGGAAATATCAGTTTTTCAGGACTCGATAGTGCTCTTTTCGATCTATCCTAATAATAGCGCTCAGATTGGTTGAGCGGAGAGATAATAGCTTATGATATCAAGCAAACAGGCATGTAGTGCTCCTATGATTGATATTGGATGGTAATGAGATTGGACGAATTGCATTGGCCGGTTAGTGTTTTCTTGTGCCTCCATGCCATCCATGGTCATTTTCTCGATCGACGAACCAGCATGTGCGGTGTTGCTGTCGTTGACGCGGTCCTGGTTACGCAGGTTGCAGCAAACGCAATAACGCTCTGGACACCGGGGACAAATCCCAGACAGTCCAATTGTTCTTCGACGGGGGTGGTGGGATTGTAGTTAGACTGTATGCCATACCATATTACAGTACCCTTTCCGTGAGTTCGGGGCACAATCTGACGTGTTTCAATTTTCAAATTTTGACATACATGTACGTTTTCGCTATTTCGATCCTTGGAGGATCTGGAACATGTAACAACCTCTTCCGCTTATTTTGCTCCCTTCTCCTTCCGGGTTTTCCTCCATGCCCCCCCTTCCCTGCCCCCCTCTTTGCCCTGCTCCCGTCCTCATTGCTCTCCCCGTACGCCCACCACCCCAGCCACCCACCACCACAACCACTGCTCTGCCTAGCTTAACCCCCCTCGCTCCTTAACGTATCTATTTAGTATTTGTTTTCCTTCTGTTCCATCAAGCACACCGACTTGATTTTAGTATTTGTTTATCAGCACACAGACTGCAGTGCATATGAAAGCTTAATTGGGCGGGCTGGACCACACTGCACTGCATGCATGGCAGTGACATTCACCAATGACCACTGAGAACGAGCTACTGACAGTCAACGTTGTCATTGCTGCCACTGGTGAGACCCTTCAACTGTTCTGCGACGAACCCCGCTCGTTTCATGATCTTCATGTGTCCATCTTGAAGCATCCAACGGTGGAAGCGGCTCTCGTACCGTTCTTGGAACATGTTCCAACTTTTCAGGGACTGCCATTGGTGCACGATGGCGACTTGCACTTTCGCTATACCCGCTTGCTGTACAATGGCTACCAGGTCAACGGGAAAAACTATTTGACTAGGGAAAAGCTACGGCAACTGGACGCTGTCGAGCTCTTGCTGGGAACAGACTGCGTGACATGTCGTCAGTTTTTCACCAGCGAGCGGGATCTCTTGTACTTGCAGGTGGACTATTCCATCACCTTTGGACAGCTCAAGTCCAAAATACGCCGATCGTACCCCTATTACATGGCTCAGTACAAGAATTGGTACAATTCGGACAAATTTTTCTTGGTGGTTACCTTTTCCAGAACTGTGCAAAGTCATTACTGTGATGAAAATTTTGACAGTGATCAAGAAGAACAAGAAGAAGATGGTGATGATGAGGATAGCCATTCAAGTGACGACGGTGGCACTGATTACGATCGTGGCAAGTTCACGATTGCACCGGATCATCTTCCCTTGTATCGAAAATCCATTCGGCTAGGGATGCTGATCATGCAACCATTTGCCCTTTCCATCCAGACATTGGCAGGCCAACGGTTTCAGGTGGGGTTTCACGAAAAGACTAAAATGAAACACCTCATTCAAAGGCTGCGGGAGGTCACGGGCATACCTCGGCGCCGAATTTCTCTGTTTCATCAGGGACAAAGGGTTAATCATGACAGCCGTAGCGTGCTCGACCATGGGATTCCAATCCAAGGAGGGATTCTCTACCTTGTGGATTATCAGTCGTCATGCAAGAATAATAGTACAAAGCCACTTATTGGCTTTGCCATTGAGCAAACAGAACTACGGGCCATCAGCCTGCAACAACTCAAAAACGTTACCATTCAGATTATTTTGAGATGCGAAAAGGAAAAATGGACCAGCACAAGCTCCAATCAGAAGAAAGAGAAGCAAAGGTGTCTACTGAAACCAGAAGATGTGACCTTGTACGACCTTGTTCAGCATTACATCGTGCCAATCACAAAGGAACGCAAATGCAGCTACGTCGAACTGATTGCACCGGGGCCTCAAAAACCGGATTGGTTTGTCAGGTACGTACGTCACTGCAAAAATGCACCCACTTCTACCACCCGCGGGCCCATTCATTCACTCCGTTATGGTTGTTTCTGCCGTTTAGTCATTGGTGGGGAGAACCAATCCTGCAATTTGTGGCTTGTTTGGAAAAACACGCCAAAGATCGTTTCCCTGCTAAACGACCAGACCAGATCTTTTATTGGGTTTGCGCCTACGCCAACAATCAACATTCTCTCGACGAGGAACTGTATCAAAGCACTCCGGACGAAAGTTCCTTCTTTCGGGCCATGGAACAATCCGTTGGAACCGTATCAATTTTGGACAAGGATATGGTCGTGTTTAGCAGAATCTGGTGCAGCTTTGAAGTAGTGGTGTCCTTGCGACAAAACGAGATGAAGACATTTGAAGACAACAACGATTCACGCTACCTCTACGATCTTTACACCATGAAAGATACCTCCGACGGAACCAGAGCTGTCGGTTTGCGCGATGGGGATTGCAGTCGTGGCCGAGGCTTTCCAAGTTTCCCACAAGCCTTGGATATTTGCATACAAAAGGCCAAGGCATCTGTTCCAGAGGATAGAACAATGATACTCAATTACATTGTAGGACGACAACAAGATCAGGCCCATGAGTCGCCTCTGAAACAGCACAAGGCCTACGATGAGGTCAATGCCGTGTTACGAGGAAGGTTTGCCGAGGCAACATACAGGCTTGCTTTGGAACAAGGCTCTGTACCAATGGAGAAGTACCGGGCCGCCCTGGCGCAGTACCCGGGCCTCGTTAAGCTCTGGATGGATTTTCGCAATTGTCCTCCCTTCGCCAAGGAGGCGAGGCATTTCATCGATTCAGCACTACCACAACATCTGCATACGTTGTCTTTGGATTTGGATGAAAACGTGTTTGTGAAGCTGGACGATGGCTTTGCGAACGGGCTGAGTAGGCTTGTGAAATTGGCAAGTCTATCACTTAGCCTTCGAGATTGCTGGGCGCTCGAGTCGCTTGGCTCCCTTCCGGCCTCATTGGGAAGATGTTCTAGTGTCGAGGTTTTGAGTCTGGATCTGTCCAATATAAAGGTCGAGGCACTGGATTGTTCGTGGCATGGTTCCTTCTCTCAGCTTGCCTTGCTGCGAAGTTTTCGCTTACGCTACATGCACAAGTTCCATGATTTGACATCAATCCGCGCGCTGTTGGAAGAAGTTGGCATGACAACAACCCTGAAAGAGCTAGAGTTTCAGTTTCGTTCCGAATGCGATTCGTGGGTCTCGACTCCGTTGGAGCTGTCCTTGCTACGATTGGACCAACTGGAGAGACTTACAGTTCATAGTGACAATGGCGGCGATGCAGAGCCATCATTCATGGATCATCTGCTGCGGCTTAACCCCAGGTTAATGACGGAACTGGACATTGGCTTTCCCGTCCGGGGCAAAGAACTGTCTCAAGCTCTGGCACATCTGGTGAATCTGTCGAGGCTGAAACTGACATACTGGCCAACCACGTCGCCTGAGGATTCAGACGAAAGCGTTTCGAATCTTGCGAACTCCTTGGCCCGTCTGAACAGCCTGAAGGCCCTCGATTTGTTCCTACGACCCAAGCGCGAGAAGGACATCTTGGATCTTTGCGGGCCTATGGCCACCATGTCCAATCTGACTAGGTTAAAACTCAACGTTGGGTATGACAGGGAATCCCTCTCCGATGATGCTCTTGCCGAGATTGGCGCGGCGATTTCTCAGCTGTCCAAGATTGAGACATTCTCGTTGACGTGTGACTGGACAAACCTTACGAGTTTGGAATGCCTCTTGCCGCCAGTGGTCGGCCTATCGCGTCTCAAGCATTTTGAACTGCAGATGAAGCAATGCCACGCCCTTTCCCGCGCCACCATCCTGAGCTTTGCTGAGGCTTTGTCAGCAGGTCTGCAGAATGGCGATTGCGTCCTACGGCTTCAATTTTCATATTGGATGAGAGTCGAAGGATTGGCAAGGCTACAGAAAACTGATTTGGAAAGAAGCTATCAGGAATTTGAAGGAACTGCAAAGGATCTTCGCCTTTTGCTTGCTTCTCAGGGGAATTAGACAAGAATGGCTATATAGCAGTCATTTTGGTTCCGTATGAGTATCGATGCCAATCGATTGCGCTAGCAAAGTACTCTTGTTTCCTGTCATGTTATCGTTCTGTGCGTAATTGATTCTACATAATAGTACCGCGGCACGGAATCTGAGCTTCCTTGCCCTGCCAGCTTTGTCGTCCTGCCTCACAGTGGGCTCGCTCTAAGCCAGAACATGCTGCCGATGCGAATCTCCTATTGTCGCATTGAAGGTGTCTTTGTCCGTGCTGAACTTCCGAGCAAGTTCTGCGATCCGTCTTGCATCAGGGAAGAAATCTCCTCTTGACACCATCCAATCTAGATAACTCTTGAATGATGGGTCCACCACAGCCATACCTTTGTGTTGTCCAAAGTTGAAGACAACTTCTCCTTGAGGGTTCCGCACAAACTTGCCTTCAAAATCAATTTTGTTGCCTCGATACATTCTATCGATAGCCGCACCATCAAGACCGGCCAAATGGAAGTCTTCCACCATGGCATTGTAGACGTGGGCAGTGGCTATGATGTCTGCTGCTGCATTGTGGGCGTTTTCCATGGGTTCACCTAGGAAGACTTGATGTGCGTTGACCAGTTTGCGACGTTCCCCCTTGCATTTACGTCTCTGAGCGTCCCAGATGAAGAATGGATCAATGATAGCGACACCAGCAAGAGCCAAGGGTTCAACTCCTGCTGTACAATATTCAGCCTGTAGCATTTTGAGGTCAAATCGCAAGTTGTAACCCATCAGGGAGTTTGCCTGGGCAAGAGTGTCTCTAATCTCCACTGCCTTGGACTCAAAAGTGGGCTCGCCGCGAAGCTGTTCCATGCTGATTCCATGCGTCGCTTCGGCTTGTGGATCCATTTTTGCTACAGTGGGGCAGAAGCGGTAGGACTTGATATCATTAGCCTTCTCGCCATTTTCATAAGTGACCATGGATAACTCTATCACTTGGTGCACTTCATTACGCTTTGGCAACCCTGTGGTCTCTGTATCCAAAAGGACCAAAGTGCCTGTTGCCGCGGCGGTACCAATCAGACGACTCGGAAGTCTTTCCAGTCTATTCCACCCTGGATCTGATTCTGGCAACAACGTAGAGAAATCATGCGCCTGAGATCGCCAATGATTATTCCAGCGTGGACAGATAATAAAGCGCGTTACACAGCCTTGCAGCCGCTTGCAACACTGCATGAGTTTTGACGTTCCTTCTTCCTTCGTTTCGCTGATCTAAAAAGCTGTCTGTCTCCACAATCAGAAGAAGGTTGAAAGAAGAAGGGCAATGCAACCGTCAAGCTCTGAACAATGGGTCCAACCTCGGATCTCAAAGAAAGTTGGCAAGAGTTCGGAGGACGCCAATGACTTTCCGAGAGTGAGAAACAGAAGATTGAAACGTGGATACTGGAAAGGAGTGCGCAAAACGAGGATACTGGGACCGGTACCGGTATACCGGACCTGTTCAGAAGGCCAACACCGGCAGACACGGCACGCTGTACCCTACAAGACAAGGGTGAAGCAATCTTCCTACCGTACATACAACGTCATTGCTTGCTTGCCTACAGGTCTAGCTAGCTTTACGAGTCAGGCTATCCTCTGTGGCCGTTTGCTCCCAACATTATAGGCAAAAAAGGAAAGCCAGAGGTACGAGTAAACCTCGTGGCAAAACCATTTGAGTGTGAAGACTCAATCATTCTACCTAGCTAGGCCTTGCGAATCACGAAGCGAGTTTAGCTGCGACGGGATTCCCAGGGAATGCGAGATGGCTCTCAAGCTGGAATTGCAGGAACGTAGTTTGCTTGCAGAACTCCAACTTCCGACATGGGTAAAGTCATCTTGAACGGGCCAACCCTTTGACACACCGCTACAACCACGCTTTTGTGAGTCCCAGTACCTCGCCTTCAATGGATGCTTTCTTGACATCTTCTCTGACAGACTCACCAGTGGCGTTTTGATCAGCAGCTTGTTCCAGCGCCGCCTTGGCCAGATTTGTTTGATAGGCCAATTTGTCTGGGACTGCAGCAAGATCTCTCTGAGCAGCTTCCCTTTTGCTTTGCGCCTTGCCATGTTTTTTAGCAACGAGAGCTTCATCGACAGAGGTTTGATTCGACAACTTGTCCTGTCCTGCACAAGATCGAGATTCTCCAAGCACTCTGTCGTGAGGGTGGTCTCATGACATTTTGCGAGAGCTTCTTCTATGCTGTCTACAGCATCATCCATCCAGGATTTGCTTCAGCTTGTACTGTAGTTTGAACTTGTCAGTCGAACTACCGGGAGCAGCGATGATACGCTTTGGAGCAAACCGTCAGGGCCATTGGTGTTCCAACACATAGTGACAGAAGCAGCAGCCACGACAACGACGACACTGTTAGTTGCCAACTTGCCAACTGGTACTTTCCACTCTCGAGTTGCCGAGTCTTTTTCATCCCATTCTCAATTTCTCATTACATGTAGTAGTTACGATGTTGAATGCAATGGCATTCAATCCTTTCCATTTTACTTGTAGCCATTTGCCACACTTTGCATCTCTCTTATTCTTGAATCTTGTTCTTCCATTTCCTCTTGACAGTCTATTGGCCTCGATAGCTCTATGATAGTCAGCCATAAAAGCCAATGTGCGGTGAACCCGGCAATCCTGATCAAGAGTCTTGTCAGTATCCGTGTAGCCAATATGAACAGAGCGTAATGTGAATTTCGATCGAACATGCACCGCAAGGCAGTCATCACAGAAACTGTTTCTGCTGTGGGAAGCTATAGTCTGTCTTGCTTGGCAAGATGCAAAAATAAGGAGACGCTCTATATCGTCAACACCAGTGAAGCTGATATCCAAAATTTTGACGAGAAATGGAACAATTTGGGTGGTACCCGACAGCATGACATAACGGATGTAGATGGCAATCTCTTTATGAGGCCGCGACAGAAAAGGAAACGGGGAGGTTAGTGAGCAATGTCGCTGTTTGTTATTCATTCATTTATCCGGTGGACGAACGTCCATCAACGCTCTACGAAGATCTAGTTTTCCGAGTTGCTGCGGTAACCAGGCTGAGAGGCACATACCGTACTCAGCCTGCAACTGTTGCAGAAACCTAAAACCTACTCTAGCTAGCTAGCTAGCTAGCTAGCTAGCTAGCTAGTGCTACTAGTAGCTTGTGCGGGTACCACTGAGTAGGGTTAAGGGCTATGTTTTAGTATCTTCAATAGAGTTAGAGATAATGGTTCGTGGGGGTTCCACGAAAGATCGAGGCATCGGCATTGTTGGATCCATTCGAGCGACCAAAAAACCAAAAGCGGTGCTCTATTTACTCCATAATAGTATAGTCTGTCCTTCGTAGGATGGTCATTAGACAGGGCTTGTGCGTGGCTTCATCTACCATGTCAAAATTGAGTTTGACACAAAGATTTCGATTTGACAGGCGTCCTTTCTGCGAGTACTATACATAAAAACAGTACTCGCAGAATAGAAATAGGCCAAAGCGAATTCTGCATGGCAACTCCAACCGAAAGCGTTGAGGTGACCTGGCGAGCGGGGCCGACGCGAAGAAAAGAACCGGGATTGGAATCCGGTGAAGTACCTCTTTGGTGATGTGAGGTTAACCGGCTCACAAATTCCATGTCCACGCACCTATCTTACGGCTCCAGTCAACAGTACTAGTACTAGTGTCAACAGTCGACAGTGGAGAGCAACAGAGCGAAGTCGACAACAGCAACAACTACAAGACAGATGACGACTTGGTATAAAGGATGTAGATGTAGTAAAAAATAGATTAAACTACTGCTTCTTTCGTTGCTTGCCACGAGCAGCTCCCTTGGGGACCATGCATTTGGCTTGGAACCATAGCTTCATCTTCTCAACAGTGAACTTGCACTCTTTTTCGAACACTGTCTGTAGTGCGGCGCATGATTCGTAATGATCTTTCATTCGGTGGGCTTCTTGCCAAGCCGATATCCCTTTTACGCAGGCTGCCGTTCGACTGAAGTGTGTCTGCTGTGATCGAGTCCAGTGCCTCCTCCACCCTTTAATATTTTGCTCCCTTCCGGCAACACCACCCAAAGCACAAAAGAAATTGTCGTTGCCATGCCACTCATCCCAGATATCGCTAAGGAGAGTGTGCTTGGGCTTAAGCCGAAATCTGGAGCTGGGTGTTGTGACATGCGGTGTTGCACCGAGTTGAAGTTCCTCTGTAGTCAAACCAGCATCTCCTGTAAATTGTCCGAACATTCCAGTACTTATTCGTGGTGCTTCAGTAACTGTAGTAGTAGCTGTAGGTGCACCAACTTGAAGTAGCGTTGTCGCGGCAGCCTCTTCTTCTGCAGCATTCAGTAAGTCGTCGATCTCCATGGGAGGTGGCTCCTCTCCTAAGCCTTCACCAGCAGCTGCGGCTTCCACGAACAAGTCGGTGAATTGTTGCTCCTCATGTCCTCGAAGTGCTTGTGCCCCTTTCTCAAGTAGGCATGCAAGCCTCTCTGCACGAACGTCCACTTGTTGCTGTCGTGCTGCAGTTTCCTGGTGGATGGCCACAAGCTTGTCAATCCCAGCAGACAGAGCGGCGGTCATGTGGTCCACTTTTCCAGTCAAACGGGCAACTGCTCCATTGGTTTGTTCAAAACGTTGGTGTACTCCAGGCAAAACTCGCTGCAGATTGTTATCCAGAGGATCTTTCTCTTGCTCCAGAGCAAGTCGCATTTCCTCTTTAAAGGCCTGTGGTGTGTTGCATAAGTAAACAGTACGGTTAACACGTTTTTTTTCAGTAGCAGTAGGCAGTAGCATACCTTTGTACAGACCTTGAACTCGTCGGTGAGAAAGACGTCCAATTCGTTGAACATGGGATGCTCTTCTGCTCTTTCCGGCGACTTGATCATCATGGTGGCAGCGTCTTGCAGAAAGATGGTGTTGATGTCCTTGAAAAACTTGAGGACGTGCAGGGCAGTCATGTACTTTCCATTGCTCTCTGTACTGGCCTCACAAAGGGCTTCATAGGCGGTGTAAACCCATCTACCCAAAGGGGTCTTGACCAGTAGATCATACTTCGGTTCCACAGAGCTCCGTGTAAGAAAGTAGGGAGCATCTCGGCCACCAACGAATCCAGCTAGTGCTCTGATGGCTTCCATGGGCAGTTTCGTACTGTAGGAATTGTCGAACACACCATTCGCCCATTGTCCCATTTGCCTAATCAGCTCAGCATCTGTCATTCCCATTTCTAAGTACTTGGCCCCCAAGTTCCGACCAAGGTGTAGGATTTTAGCGCAGGAGAGATTCAAGGCCTTCAACATGTCTCTAATATCTTTAGCATAGCTGAGTGGAATGAACCAAAACCGTGAATTAGAGATTGACTTGCCGGCATTGGAATAAGACAACACACAAGCGACTTACCTATCATTTTGCATCTCGTTTTTGTGATTAGAAGGAGACCCGACATCAATAAGAAGCTTGATGTCAAACCAGTGCTTGTTATCCTTCCATTCTTCCAAGCCCATGTTCTCGAATTCACCAGTACAGTGCAGCCTATACATGAAATAGAAAGCGAATCCGCCGACCGAACAGCAGTTAACGTCCTTATGTCTGGCAGCCCTGCCATACTGCCTGTTACCTCTGGTTGCCGTCTTGCCAATTGGAATCTGGTGCACCATCAAAAAGGGAGAGTGGACGTCGTTGTGAGCCTTCGGTAATTCAAGCCCAAGAAAGTCGCTCAATTCGGCACGATGAAGACTCTCCGATCGTAGGACACCGGAGGTCAAATAAAGAAGACAAAATCGATGTCGGAGAGCCTTGCAAGCAGATCTGTAGCCTCTTGCATGTTGACTCTTCTTCCACAAGTAGTCCTCCATTTTTTCATAGTGTTGTACAACTGCATAAGGAGAAAATTCGCCTGTTATCTTCTCTTTGTAGTTGCGCTTGTCTGCCAGTGGTTTCCTCTCCTTCACATGTGCTCGCAGCTCACTGAATTTCTGCTTCTGCCATATGCGATCCCATTGAGGCACCGCCATGTTGTGATCTGTTTGAGTGAGAGTGATCTGGACTAGATAGATCTTTCTGATGACTTGTGCATATTGATCATAGGTGTGCACACTGATGGGTTCCTTGGGGGCAGGGCGCTCCATCTCTGAAGTAGCTGTGTCCTTGTACTTGGCGACAACCACATCGTAGTCCTTCCTATCAAAGTGTTGTCGCTGTTCAACTGGAATGGCTCTTTTCGCCTTGGTCAGACCGGTCTCCTTCTTCTCTCTGTAGCATTGGTAAAACATGAATGAGTACACTTTGTCATAGGTTAGGTTGTACTTGTAGAGACTCCTTGGATACACAGACTTGCAGAACTGGAAGAACTCCCAGATCTTAGGCCGCAATACGTTCTTGCTGGTTTCAGGTCGCCCTTCCTCTCTCATCTCCAACACCATCCTCTCCAAATTGCCAATCAAAGCTGCATCATCCGAATGCTCTGGCTGGGTGCCACCAGAAGCATTGGAAGGGTTAGCAGCTGCAAATGCATTGGCAATGAGGCGAGCGGCAGTAGCCATGGTGGTGACAGCAGCAGCAGCAACAACAACAACAACAACACAGGAAAGCAAATGGTGGTGGTTGTAAAGAGCGAAGTGCAGTTCGATCGATCGTTGGCGCCATTACGAAGCTACTACTAGTACTACACTGTACTGTCACGTACTGTTAGAGGTTTTCAGTATCGAAGCTACCTAGCTAGCTACGTAGTCGTCCACCCTACCAGCATGGCTGGCTGGCTCTCACGATGGGCCTAAAGAGAGGGATGCGCTGATGTGGCAATGTCACAGTCTTTAAGTCTTTATTGGTTTGACAGGATGTCCATTATGCGCGCATAATGGACATTGCACGCATTGATATGACGCGCATAACGGACGCGCGACTTTGACATGCAGTCAAAAACATACCTGACGGGTTTGACAGAGGCATCTATATTGAAGTGGAAGAGAACAACAAGCAACAAGAAGCAACAAGTACTACTAGCACTACTATAGAACAAGTAGAACGATGTTAACCAAGTTTGAGAGCAAGTCTGCTCGTGTGAAAGGCTTGGCGTTTCATCCAGTGCGTCCTTGGGTGTGTGCCTCCTTGCACAATGGAGTCATTCAGTGTGAGTGCTGTAGGCTTCTACGTGTCGCGTGGTACTTGCGCGCGGTGCAGTGCCAATGCCGACCATGGCGGCGCTGTTGGCGGCGCTGTTGACGGGGCTGCTATATTCATGCAGTGTGTACATGTACTTACTCATGTCGCTCTCTTCTCCTCTTCTATTCATATATATTGACTGTCGACTCGATGCCTTGTCGGTGATTGACTGTTTCTCTTCAAAATGGACAAAATTCAAATTTTTGGTGCTTTTTGGCTGTCATTTTTTTCATTTTTCACCGCCACTAATTCCAACACACTCTCCAACAATCTTCTGAATCCTTCTACTGTTACTACTGGTGTCATGTACATGTTCAGTATGGGACTACCGCGTGGGGACTGTGATTGATCGGTTTGAAGAACACGACGGTCCCGTGCGCGGCGTGGATTTTCATTTGCACGAGCCCATGATTGTGAGTGGCGGAGATGACTACAAGATCAAAGTGTGGGATTACAAGCTCCGTCGATGTCTCTTTACGCTACTCGGCCATTTGGACTACATTCGTACGGTGCAATTCCATCCCAATGCCACCCAATTCCCTTGGATTCTCAGTGCCAGTGACGATCAGACGTTGCGACTGTGGGATTTTCAAAAGCGCACTTGCTTGAGTGTACTGACGGGACACAATCATTACGTCATGTGTGCGGCGTTTCATCCATCCGATGATCTCATTGTCAGTGCTTCGTTGGATCAGACGGTCCGAGTTTGGGACACGACCGGATTGCGCAAGAAACAACTCCAACAAGATGCCGGTCCTCCCATGAGTCAAGCCGAAGGATTGGCGTCCAACACTGCCCTCAATGTCCAAGCCGAACTATTTGGCAGTAACGATGTCGTTGTCAAGTACGTCTTGGAAGGACACGATCGTGGAGTCAATTGGGCCGCCTTTCATCCCACTCTTCCCTTGTTGGCATCAGCCGCTGATGACCGTCAAGTCAAATTGTGGCGCATGAGTGAAACCAAAGCCTGGGAAGTCGATACACTCCGGGGGCATGCCAACAATGTCTCGTGTTGTCTCTTTCATCCCAAACACGATCTCGTCGTGTCGAATAGTGAAGATCGATCCATTCGAGTCTGGGATGTCAGCAAACGCATTGGCGTCCAAACCTTTCGCCGCGAAGGCGATCGATTCTGGATTTTGGCCGCCCATCGATCCCAAAATTTGTTGGCGGCCGGTCACGATTCGGGTATGATTGTCTTCAAACTCGAACGAGAACGTCCTGCCAGTGCCCACGGTCCCAACAACAAACTTTACTATGTCCGTGGCCGCGAGCTCTTTTGTCACGACGCCAGCCGTGCTGGAAACACTGGAACGGCCGGAATTGATGTCCCCATTGCGTCCTTGCGCCGTGTTGGACAACAAGCCCAAACCGATGGTATTGGATCGGCACCTCGCTTTTTGGCGTACAATCATCACAATCCCAGTGAAGGCAATGTCTTGGTCACGTCCGATGTCGATGGTGGTTCCTACGAATTGATTACCTTTAGTCTCACCAATTCTTCCGGCAGTGTCACCGATGGCAAGCGCGGAGCTTGTTTGGGACCCGGTGTCTTTTTGGGTCGCAATCGATTTGCCGTCCTGGACAGGCATCAACGACAGGTTACCATCAAGAACTTGCAGAATGAAACCACCAAACGCGTGCAACCACCCGTCCCCAATGTCGATGCCATTTACGACGGTGGAGCATCCGGTCGTCTCATTTTGAGAACCGAAGATCGCGCCGTACTCTTTGAAGTCCAGTCGCGACGCGTCTTGGGAGAAATCACCGCTCCCAAAATGAAACACGTTCATTGGAGTCCCGATGGAAGCAAGGTCGCCATTGTCTGCAAATACGGCATTGTCATGGCCGATCGACAATTGGAACAACTCTGCAGCATCAGCGACAATGTCCGCATCAAGAGTGGTGCCTGGGATGTCTCGCCCACGGGAGGAACCAAGTCCAATCTATTCCTCTACACGACAATGAATCATGTCAAGTACTGTCTGCCATCGGGAGATACTGGTACCATTCGCACGTTGGATCAACCCCTCTATGCCATGCGGGCCATGAAGGATCAGTTGTTCTGTCTCGACCGGGAATCGCGTGCTCGAGTCATTAGCATTGATACCACCGAAGCTCGATTCAAGTTGGCATTGGCTCATAAAAAGTACGGACAAGTCATGCACATGGTCCGTCACAGTCGTCTTTGTGGACGTGCCATTGTCGCCTACTTGCAATCCAAGGGATTCCCCGAAGTGGCCTTGCACTTTGTCAAGGAACCTCGCACTCGATTCCGTCTTGCGTTGGCATGTGGTAACATTGAAGCCGCCATGGAATCCGCATTTGCGTTGGAGCAACTCGAACAGGCTGGCAATCTCAATCCCGACGGAACACCCTCCAAGGATACCGGCGGTCGTCGTGAGATTTGGGGAATTCTCGGTAGCGAAGCGTTGCGTCAAGGAAACCATCAAGTCGTGGAAATGTCCTACCAACGCACCAAAGACTTTGATCGACTCTCCTTTTTGTATCTCATTACCGGTGACACGGACAAGCTGCGCAAAATGCTCAAGATCTCCAACATGCGTGGAGATATCATGGGCCGCTACCACAATGCCCTCTTGTTGGGCGATGCCGCCGAACGAGTGCAAGTGTTGGAGGAGAGCGGAAACTTGCCATTGGCGTACATTAGTGCCGTCTCGCACGGATTGACCGATGCGGCCGAACGAATCAAGATTGCCATTGAAACCCAAAAAGGAACGGTGGAAGGTCTAAGTAAGTGCCTCCTTGTTAATTTCAGGGATGCGTCTTGTGTGTGATGTGGATGTCCTCCTACTTACTGCTGCCCCCCTTCCTCCTTGTTTGGCTTCGTTATCTTCCACCAGTGGAGAAAGCGCAAAAGGACAAGGCTACGAATCCTCTGTCCGCCGGATGTCTTTTGCAGCCGCCCACCCCGATTTTACGCGGTGACAATTGGCCAACACTGGAAGTTCAAAAGACGACACTCGAGGATTTGAGTGCTGCCCAAGGTGGAGAAACAGAAGAAGCCGAGTACGAGGATGCTGCGGAGCAAGCTCCTGCAGCTGCAAGCGGAGACTGGGATATGGACGACGGATTTGACGATGCTCCGGCTGGTCAACCTTCGACCTCCTTGGTTGCCGCTGCCGATGACGATCTCGACTTTGGTGATGGCGACGATGGAGATTGGGGCGATGACTTGGATGACCTTGGTGATTTGGGCGATGCCAGTGCCAGAGTGGCAGACGATATGGACTTGAATGTCGTGGAAGACACGGCAGGATTCCAAATGCCCAAAGCAGGTCAGTTTTCCAGTCGTTGGCTGTTGAAGATGCAATTGACATTCTAATTGCCTTTCTCACCATCTCGGTTCCTCTTTCGGTTCTTGATGGAACGCAGGCCGTCCTGCCCCCGCTGTGTGGTGCAACAGCTCCCATGCTGCCGATCACAGTGCAGCTGGACAGGCTGCGTCTTCTCTGCAGTTGTTGAACCGACAAATCGCTGCTAGCGACTTCTCGACGCTGCAAGAATCCCTGATGGGATGCTACTTGGGCGCCAACATTTCTGTGCCTGGTGTTCCAGGAAGTGGCAGCATGATGATGCCACTGGCTCGAAATGACGCCCAAGGCCCCCCAGGAGACAACAGCCTGCCTCGTATCTTCTTGCAGAAAACTGCTCTTGTCAATGGTAGGTTATTTCAGGTTGCTGCTACGTCATGATGTTGCATGTTCACGGTTAGCGCGCTAATGTGTGTCGACCTTCCTTTTTGTGCTTTTGTAGGTATCCGAAACGGCTACCGTGCCTTCCAGGGTGGCAAATTCCAAGACAGTCGAGCCGCCTTCGTGGGTGTGTTGGCACAGATTCCGGTGGTCGTTGCGACCAAGGCCGAAGCCAATGAGATTAAGGAGATGCTTGCAGTCTCCCGCGAGTACATCACCGCCATCCGCATCAAGGGCGCAATGGGACAGGCTGCAGCCGACGCCGTCCGCCTCACCGAGTTGTCTGCGTACTTTACCCACTGCAATCTGCAACCTGTGCACTTGATTTTGGCGCTTCGTTCTGCCATGGGTACCGCCTTCAAGCACAAGAATTTCATTGTGGCTGCAGGTTTTGCCAGACGCCTGTTGGAACTTCCAGACATGAGCAGTGAGCGCAACGCTGATTTGAGGAGCAAGGCCTCCAAGGTCTTGCAGAAGAGTGAGCAGATGGCCCGCAACGAGCACACGCTCAACTACGATGACTCGAAGCAGTTCAAGATCGACTGCCAGACTTTCAACCCCATTTATGCGGGCGAGCCGTCCATCGAATGCTCTTACTGTTTATCGGTCTACAAGGATGAGGCCATGAAGAACAAGATTTGCTGCACTTGCGGAATCTCACTTGTCGGAGTCAAGACCATGGGTCTTGTGTCAGCTTTCCAAGGACGTGGCATCTAATCACTGCATGTCGGAAGTTTAAGAATAGAAGAGCTTGGGACAGGACAAGAGCATAAACATATAGCTGATTAACAAAATGGAAAGATTTTTGTTGTGGCCGATAACCATTCTTGCTTGCTTGGCATGGTATTGGTGGACTTGGAAAGTTGGGAGAATATTTGGCCATGCCGTGTGGACGAATATAGCATTTGCGGAAGAAACTGCTTGCTTGCATTTTCGTTTGTTGTCTCTCTATTGGATGATGGGGCAATCCACTGGTGGTTTGATTGTAGCAATCAGTAGCATCTCCAATTTAGAGATTTGAGCCACTCTGGTAGATGCTGCCTACCGGTAGCCAATATGCGGGGTCGGAAGGAAGCGGCTGAATGGATCTCCTCCTGCGTCACGCTCTCCAGCAGCCAAAAGAATTCCTCCCAGCGGTACGGAACCACGGTGGAGACCTATCGGCCAGATAATTCCCGCGCGCGCTGAGGAATGTGCGACTGAGTTCTCCAAGCAAGTGTGACTGTTTAACTTCACAAAGAGCTGTGTTACTGCATCATCCTCATGCATCAAACCCTTCTTCCGTGTCCTCACTGGTGTTGACTAGATTATTGGAGCCCATTTTCGAAAAGGCAGAGCAGAAGCAACATTGTGTTTCATTCCTTCAATTGGCCAATTGTGGGTGACTTTACTCTCCACTTGACCCCCAACACAAACTAAACTAAACTAAACCCAACTGAAACCCCATCTTTGGACAAACTTTAGGGACGTCGGTACCAGTAGAGTCTGACATCCCCAAAATTTGTGCGGAGTGCACTGGCTGTTACAAAGACTACGTAGTAGCTAGTGTCCTGTTTTGGATGAGGAAAGACGCGATTGCATGGGGATTCCTCCGGTTGGTGCCACTGCTTGGCTGGTACAGAGATTGGCTCTCTTTGCCTCCCCAAGGGTTAGGCATTGAGTAGAGGATCAAAGGGCCGGAGCCCGGTGAACACTTTGTGGAACCGACGAAAGATTTACAAATATATATTTACACACCAACGGAAACTGACTATCATACTCAATCGAAGGCAGAAAACGAAGGGGGTTGACCGTCACTCAGCCAGGAAGGAATCGAGTGGCGACACAAGAGACAAGAGACAAGGCCTTCAAATTCACCGCCACTCCATCAAGTGGTTGCCACCAGGAGCGTTCCTCAGTCGTGCAAGTGTCTTAAATCTGCCTCTAAAATAGGGGCGTTTTCGGGAATCCGCCCCTAAATCACAAAACGAATAGGGGCAGATTCCAAACCCGCCCCTAAATGGCAAAAACGCCCCTATTTTAGGGGCAGATTCCAGAAATCGCCCCTAAAAAATAGGGGCGTTTTCCAAACCCGCCCCTAAAATAGGGGCGTTTTCAATGAATTTACCATTCAGTCCCGTTTCCATTTAGGGGCGGATTCCAAACCCGCCCCTAAATCGGCAAAACGCCCCTATTTTAGGGGCAGATTCCAGAAACCGCCCCTAAAAAATAGGGGCGTTTTCCAAACCCGCCCCTAAGGTAATCTGCCCCTAAATCTGCCCCTAAAATAGGGGCGTTTTGGATTTAAGCTCACCCACGATTGAGGGACGCTCCAGCGGGCGACCGCAGCTTGCAATCCGCCTTAAATAAATAAATACGAGGACGAGATATATGCAATGTCAGTCATCAATAGCCTACCGGTACTACATGTAGTGTGCTGGACCTCTGTGGAAACGTCATTCGTGGCAAAATACTTAGGAGACGATACACCGAGGAATAGGAGACGATCGAAATGATTTAGGAGACGAAAGCGATCGTCTCCTATATTTAGGAGACGATTCAGTAGGAGACATTCCAATTAGGAGACGAAAATTTTGAAATAGGAGACGATCTGAAAGATTTAGGAGACGATACAATACAGTTTACATGGTTCACTTAGGAGACGATCCGTTGAGAATAGGAGACGATCCGTTGAAAATAGGAGACGTTTTAAGAGGAGACAAAAGATTTAAAAGAGACGATCCGTTTCGTCTCCTATTTTTAGGAGACGAAATCCATTAAATAGGAGACGATCAAAAGGATTTAGGAGACGAAAAGTAGCAGGACTCGAGTTTCCACAGAGGTCCTGTCATGGAAATAATGAAAGATTGGGTACCAGCACATAAAGCCTTTTGGGAACCAAATTTCCAGTTGGCTCCATAAATTGGTAAATTCGGGTGAGCGACGAGTCGCCTGGCGTGGCCACTCGATCTGCGGGGTGAAGAGTCAGAAGGAGCGTGGAGGGCAAAACTCAGTCATTCGAAAGACATTCTGTACCAGTCTACTCTACTCCATTGTTCCGTGTTCCGTGCAAGGTGCGAGCAGCTAAAAAACAACAACAACAACAAGTGCAAGCAGCTAGCTAATCCCGAATCAACCTTCTGAATGATTCAGAAGGTTCAACTGAAGAGTCTTGTGGATCTGATCCTTGTGATTGAAGCTGCCATGATTTGGATTAAAAGCTTTTTTAAACTGTGTTTTTAGCTTTTTCCTGGAATCTGAGGTCATCACCGCGCGCGAGGTGCAGTAATCTGCCGATGCGGTCCGGAAGACTCCGGATGCCTCTTGTTGCCTACACTATGCCTGGCGGCTGGCCCATGCAGGCTTCAATCCATCACTTCCCCACTCACAAAAAACCGTGTACCAGGTAAAACTAAAACCAAACCAACAGCCGCCTTCCAGTTGCAAAAACCCCAAAAGAACCACAAATTACCACTGCACACAAGCGCAGACAACACAAAATCAGTTACAACAATCTTCACTGCTCTAGTAGAACCATGCCCTCTTTGGCAAGCACCACAACCCCATTGGACAGCACCCAAGAATCCCCTAGTCCTGAAGATGGTTCGGTGTTTCTGGATGAGAGCACTCACCATGCGAGTGTGAACAGTAAGGTGGATCCCAACAAACAAGTGCAAGAAGTGATTGGAAAGAAGGAAGACAAGGCGGTTTTTTGCCTTCGCTTGGTGGTTCTCTTGGTGTTGCTGGGTGCCGCTGTGGGTGTTTCGGCATCCGTATACAAATACTTGGATAAGAGTGAAAAGACTGCCTTTGAAAACCAGTTTGACTCGGATGCTGCCAAGGTCATGGAAGAAACGGGCAAGACGTTGGACAACACTTTGGGGCCGGCAGATGCTCTCGTGGTCAATCTGGTGGCCCACTCTCGGACACTCCCCAAGAGACTGCCCAACCAAACAACGGCCTTTCCCTTTGTCACTCTGCCTTCGTTTGGTCTGCAAGCTACCAAGATGCTGCGCAATTCCAAAGGTTTTAACCTGAAAATGGCGCCCAAATTGGAGCAGGAACAAGTCCCTGAATGGAGGAAATTTGTCAATGAGACCTACAAGACGTGGATTGAGGAAGGTTTGGCCGTGGCTGAGAAGGATCCTGATTACGACGGGTTGATTTACAGAGGGTACAATAACAGGACGTGTCCCGACTTGTTTACCTGGGGAGGACAAGTGGTCGACCTGCCACGTCCGGATATGGGCTATTATCTTCCAATGGCATTGGAATATCCCGTTGTGACAGGGGCGGGACGTGGAGCTGGATGTCCTTACAATTTTGATTTGGCACGATCCTCCATGCTCATGCCGCAGGTCATCAACATGATGAAGACACAACGCAAGGCAGCCATGGGACCATTCCTCAATGTCAATTTCAATCGATCCGATCCTGCCCAAGAGCAACAATACCTAGGACTTATTGCCTTTTACCGGACATCGCTTCCCAAAGAAGAGGATCCAACAGAACCCATTAGCGTCATTATGCTGCCCATCTTCGATGCTGTCGATACTGTCTATCTCAATGACAGCAGTCATGCCAGTCCTCAGGATTTTGTGGGTTACCTGGGAGTCGATATTCAATTCAAAGCATGGATTCGAAACATTTTGCCCGAAAATTCCAACGGGATTATTGTGGTTGTTGAACAATCCTGTGAAGCTGGTACGTTGGCAATATGAGATGTTTATGTTGTTTGGTTAACTGGAGTGAATGGCTCAACCCTGTGTCATCATTGCAAAAATAGCCGTCCCATTCACGTATCGCATTGATGGTGCGCAAACCACCTACCTTGGGACGGGCGATCACCACGATCCCAAATACGACAACATGGTCCGTTCAGTGGTACTCCAGGCGTTGACAGATCCAACCTTGTTTGACCGTGGCTCCTCCTATACCGGAGTCCCATTATCTACAGACTTTTGTACCCATACCATCAAAATCTATCCCTCACAGGACATGGAAGACAATCACCGCACCAACACACCCCTCTATCTGACCGTTGTTGCTGCAGGCATCTTTGTCTTTACGTCGCTCGTCTTTGTCTTCTATGATTTCCTTGTGGAAAGACGCCAAAGAAAAGTCATGAACCGTGCATTGGCGTCCGGTGCCATTGTTTCTAGCCTGTTCCCGCAGGAAGTGGCCCAAAAGCTGTATGAAGACAACAAGGCCAAGTTTCAAAAGGAAGAGCAACAGCGAAACTTCAAGAGTGGTGAAGTACCACAGGAAGGACCGCATCCATTGGCCAAGGACACGAATCAAATTGCCCAGCTTCATCCAGAATGCACTGTCTTTTTTGCTGATCTTGCTGGCTTTACGGGTACGTTGTGTCGGACGATTTTGAATGAATCTAAAGGCCATCAAATCTCACACCCCTGTTTGCCCCCCATTCCACGCCACCACAGCTTGGAGTGCCAAACGACAGCCCACCGAAGTGTTTCAACTACTAGAGACACTCTATGGGGAGTTTGACAAGATTGCGGACCGACGTCGAGTGTTCAAAAGTAAGAGCTTGATCCGAAACTTCGGAACGGTCAAAGCTTTGGAGGCCTCATCCTTTTCTTCTTTCTCGTGTCATGTTAGTTGAAACAATCGGAGACTGTTATGTAGCGATCACGGGCTGCCCCAAACCACAAAAGGATCATGCTGTGATCATGTGCCGATTTGCTCGAGACTGCATGAACCGAATGAGTGAAGTCACTGCCGAACTCTCTGACAGCCTTGGAGTAGAGACGGCAACTCTGGGCTTTCGAGTTGGCTTGCACAGTGGGCCTGTCACCGCAGGAGTGTTGAGGGGCCAAAAAGCTCGCTTCCAACTCTTTGGAGATACAGTCAATACTGCTGCCCGGATGGAAAGCAATGGTGTCAAGGGGAAAATTCATGTGTCCCAGTCTACAGCAGACTCTTTGATTGCCCAGAATAAGGGTGACTGGCTTTTGGAGCGGCAAGACAAGATTACAGCCAAGGGGAAGGGTGTCATGACAACGTGAGTAGAGTGTACTCAATCTAATCTGGCACAGTTTCACACTTTGGATCCCTCATGATCTTTTTGTTTGTTCCTTGCTCCCTGCAGCTACTTTGTGACTCCCAGGTCTGCTGGCCACCTCGCTGAAAGTGTCGTTTCCCATCGTGATGGATTTGGACATGTTGGAGAGGAAGGGGAGAATATGAAGGGAAAGCCAGAACAGTATGTCAATGTGATGGAGGTCTAGATTATTAGAGTCACATCGCGTGCAGGATGAGGCTTCTCCATGCTAAGCACAATTCCATTTCCAATGCCTCCAAAGCATCCAAGAAATCATTGGTAGCTTCCACAGCTACCACAGTGCACAACACCAGGGACATCCGTACGAGCGGAGTCTGACAGCCCCAACGCGATCTCTTGGGGTTGGCAAGGACTTGCGCAGGAGCCTGGGAGTGGGGTGCCACACTGCGCAGTAGAGTCTCATCTTGGAACGCTGGGGCCAGGAGCAACCCGGATTGTCTCACAGCGAGCGAACGGTTGGAGGATACTGTCAATCTGGCTGGCCTTGGGCCAAGCCGAACAATGCAATTCTGCAAAAGTCGAAACAGCCAAAATATGGTGCCGGTGGCCAGCTAGCTAGTAGTCTAAGAGAGGGATCTTGCCTCTATTACATTATCCCTCAATCCAGTAAAACTATGTACTATGCACTGACCCGGTACTTTGAACAGCTCCCGAAACCTAACAATCCAGTCACCAGTACCCCGTTTTCCGCTACTTTGAGCCCGCTCTGTGTGCGATGCTGTGCTCGTCGGGAATTCTTCCAAATCCCAAAGCAAGTCTTTTTGTATGTATATATCTGGCTGAGAGATCGACCTTCTCACGCCCCCTAACGCCCTGTCATGCCCGCCCTAACTCGGGTCCTCTCGTGAATTGTCGTCGTCGTCGTCGTCACCGTCATCCTCCAACGTATCCGTCAGAAGCCATGTGTGCTGAAAGATTTCCAAAATGCGCTCTTTGCGGTCCTCGTAGAGTCTTTGGACGAGAGATTCGCACAAGGAACGTCGTTCTCGAAGACTCTGTTCGCTGGGAACGTCTGCGGGTATGGTCCAGGTTCTTCGGAGGGACGATTCCTGATGATGCGGCAAAAGGAGCATGTGGTCACGAGCCGAGTCCAACGATAGTCTCCTCGTCGTCATGTCATTCAACGATGGTGGTGGTGGAGCCAACTCGTCTCGAGTCGAGAACATCAATCGTGCTGTGGTGAGGGCTAGCTCCTGATCGAGCCGCGTGGGACTATCGGTGGCTTGTGGTACTATCGTGGTCGAAGCTGCCTTCGTGGTGCTACCATCCGTGGTCACAGCTTGGAAGGCGGAGGAATGTAAATCGTGCGAAAAGTCGGATGTCATGGATAGCATGGTGGTTGGAACAGAGGAGGTGCGCGGATGGCTGCGATGGTGGTTTCGAGTGAACAGATAGACTTCAGCAATGAGGCAAATAGCAATGTTTCCCAGATACTACAGATACACCCAAACGAAGAATAGAACGGTGGCTGGTAACATTGGCTGGCCAATGGGTTGTCTTGGATGCGCGGAGAGACGATCGAATGGTGCTTTGGCCAACCAAGAGCCGAAAATCCAATGAACCAGCCTTGATAATACCCAAGCCAAATTACGCGCCGATGGGACAAGACGGAAAACGTGGGGTACGCAACGAATCTCTTGCGGGGAAGGCTGTAATCGCATGTCGCGGCCAGGGGACAAATTTGTCGATTGACTTATAGCCCTGCAGGAGCCAACGGCAAAATCGACCAAAGAAAATTATGGGCCAGAAGTAAAGTTTTCCGTTCGATGCCTGGAAGGTCACGCTAGCACGTAATGATGTGGGACGTCCACAAAACAGTCGCAGCAACGGTCAAACACAGTTTTATTGCACGGACTCCCGCAACAGCAGGGCGGGGCCAGCAAAAAGAACCAACAGCAAGAAACATCAAAGCGCACGAACGCCGATCACTGCCAGATACGTCTCCTATCATCTGGTTTGTTCCTTCCATTCATGCTCTGTCGTCAACGGGAAGAACTGTCGCACAAGAGCCGGTCTCGAGCACATGCATGCGTTGCGGAGAAGCCAGCAAGGGCCAGGCTCAGGCAAACGAGAGTGGGAATTCGGGACAACCTTAGGCATAAATGTGCTAGCTAGGATGTTATTAAATTTACGAAACGAAACGAATCTAATCGTTGTGGCTCCCATCTCTTTAGTACAGTATTTGTTTCGGTCGTTGCACAAAGGCACCCGATGAGGTGGAGTGTAAAATGGTTTAGCTCACATTGTCCACTGGGCTCCACCGGACTCGAGGACTCAGCAGCTGGGAGTCCATGAAACCAACCAGTTGATCCGAATGACACCACTTGCTTTCGCTCCTCTAATAAGGGCTGGTGATTCGAATGGAAGCACCAATGTTATGCGAGGCCTGGGTCTTCGATCGCGAAGGATTTGTCTGCTGGTCCAGATCCTTGGCTAACTGGCTGCATGAATACTTTGGGGTCCGAAAGACTGACGCCGTTGGTTAGCACAAGCGGTGCATAGTTTGGTACCACCCCAAGCAGCTAGCTAGCTAGATTGTTCTTTTTTGCTATTCCATAGCTACGGTATGGACGGGTAGCTCTAGCTAACCATCTACATCAGATAGAAGTAACTAAGTGAGTCGACTTTTTTTTGAGGAGAGAGAAAGGTTTCATTGTTGGGTTTTGGGGCTAGGCGACGACAAAACAAGGTGACTCGGCTCGGCTCGGTTCCCTTCTGAAGCAAATGCTACTGTTGGATTCCAAAAGTTGTGTCAATTCTGGCTACACCTGCTGTGTGTAGGCTCACAAAGTATTCTATTCATTCACTACAGTGCTGACTTGCAAGCCAATGAATGTAGATTGCAATGTACACATAAATAAGGTAATGAAGATGATCCTCTCTTTCAGAGGAAACAGGCACTGAAGAAAAGATAAATTGAAGAATAATGATTTCCAAAATCATAATCTAGCTCTCTCTCCTTTTCTAGTTTGTTGTAGATTGTGAATGTTTTTGTTGGATTGTTGGAATGAATTATTCAATCAGAACTGAAATGTCTTTAATACCTTTTCAGCCTCTTCCTCTGGAGGTTCCTCATCTTGAGGATGGTTTAGTTTGTGTACTTTTTTTTGTGCGGCTCGTAATCCCTTTTGCAGTGTCTTGTCGTTGGGACAATGCTCCAGTCCTGCCTTGTAGGCTTCAATGGCATCTTCGTATTCCTCCATTTGATGGTAGACGGCCACGCGTCGAATGTGTCCCTTGTGGTAGTTTGGCTTGATCGAAATGCATTGGCCCGCATCTTCCAGGGCTTCCAGTAAATCGCCTTTCTTCAAATATGCCGCAGATCGATTGGAATAGCACTGATACTCCTTGTCGCCCTTGCTAATGGCTTGTGTGTAGTACGTGATCGCATCGTCCCATCGTTCGTCGCGAAACGCATTGTTCCCCATGTCCAGGTACTACCAGAACAAACAATAATAAGAATAATTAAATTAGGCACAAAGGATTGAATCATTCATGAGAATAGAAACACTCTCTTAGCTCACTTACTCTCTTGACCTGCGCCTCATTCTTGCTATGCATAGTAGTATCCTTGCCCATCTTATTAGTTAATGCTTCTATCCTATTGCTCTCTATTGATTGTTGTCTATCGATTGCGGCCTCTAGAGCAAAGTTGCTTGCATCGAACAGCAGCAAAAATGCCCATGGTGTCGGTGCGTTGAAAAGAAGATCGCTTTTAATTCCGCTTTTACCCGCCATCGCCCACACAGTCTTGTTTTTGGTGAACTTCAACTTAGAAGAGCAACATGGGCTTTAACAACCCACTAGATAATCTGGGACTACTAGTAAGATGACCCCTCCGTTGTTACACCACCGTGAATTGTTAAATGGTTATAAGCTACTACCGTAGGGTGAGGTACATGTACAGGTGGAGTTATGAGTTATTGTTTGGTTCTTTGGGGTTTGGGTGCTTGACCTGGTGCATGATACGCTTGCTTGCAGGTGTTGATTTTTGCTTTATTGATGCTCCGAGGCAAAACTTCGGGCGTCTCCTTACAGCGTACATCGTACCATCCTCCGGAAGGCAGCAGCCAGGTTTTAGTCATGAGATCTTCAATTTCGAGTTGTTTGTCATTCTGAGTTGCTGATAGTAAGAGTAGCCGAGGAAACATCCAAGCAAAAGCGTGCTGTAACCAATCCAAACGCCACCGAAGAGCCCGCCTGGTTCCAACATCCACTCAATCACACACATGCAAAGGAATGTTGCCACTACGACGGTCCCCAAAACAAACTGGACGAAAAGGCTACTCTCGTTGTGATCTTCCGCAAAACGCTTGCCCCAGAGCAGCCAAGGAATAATCTCTTCGTCGTCACTCCTACACGACGAAACGTGTGTACACCAAAGTCGAAGTGGTGACAACCACATGTGGCTCAGGGCATGCTCAGATCCCAAAATACGCTTGGCGTATTTGGCAATGGTGGGGGCAGTCTCCTCGATGGAAACATAGTTGGATGCCAGGATTCCATTCACCACAATGCTGCCATCGCTCGTCAGGGGCATGTAGGCACCAACTTTTTCAATCGTCTGCATAGCGGTCACAACCGCTACTTGGCCGTCATGCGTTGCCGTGTTGTAATGCCACAGAAAGTCACCTGGTTGGAGAGAGTCGGCTCGTTGGGGGCGGATCTCTCCGTCTGGAAGAACTACAAATACAATGTGATCGTGAGTCAGTTCGAGAGGGCCCACACGGTTGTGTTCCGGAGCCCTCGCGTGCACCTGCAGATAGGTGGTTGTCAAATTGGCATGATGATGGCCAAACGCATAGACACTTTGAAATCTAGCAGCAGCAGCAGAACTGATCTTTCCGGCATGCTGCGGGTGACCCCGGAGGACTTCATCACCAACGTGTAGATCTTTCATGAACACAGGTCCCTTACGCTTCACATGGACGATGGATTCGCCCGAAAAGCAGGTTGGTATGGGCGGAGAAGAAGTTCTAGTTGGAGCAGGTGTTGGAAATGGTGTCGGATTTGGCGTCGGACGAAGACTGGGAGGTGGAGTTGGTACTGCAACTGGACCAGGAGTTGGACCTGCAACCGGGCCAGGAGTTGGATCAGGCGTGCCGGTGGGGACCGGGGTAGGAGCTGAGAATTGCAACGGGGACTGTGAGACCAGAAGTATCATTGTGTTGTTGATACAAAGCATTGATCAATCTGAACTTGCCTGGTGTGGGACCTGGGGTTGGTTCAGGAGTGTCATAGCATTCACCAAAGGTCACGAAGCCACTGGATAGCGAAGCAGATATTGGATATGTTGGAGTAAGAGAATGCCGGCAGACAACATAAATAAAGTAGGGCAAGACTACCACAATCTGCATGTATGAAACGAACCTGATAAAGTCGTACACGTCGCTGCAGCCTTCCTTGAGGGGATCTTGCTCTGGTCCATCAGGGTTAAGCCAAGCGGTCTCCCCACAGAAATCGCCAAAGTCCACGTCGAAGTATACCCAATTGTTGGCAGTGTTGGCGTTGCTGCAGGATCCCACTGCTTCCCAGTTACCAAGACACCCTGGGAGATTATTGACACCCACACCATTAACATAGCCGGTGGCAGGGAATTCGTAGCGGTTGATCAAATTAACAATCACTGTGATGTGCGCATCTGGTGTTGCGCTTAACTCACCTGCATCATGTTCGGCGAAGACCCTGATCTGGTGGTTGACAGGAGCCGTAAGACACAGACCTGCTTGTATGGCGTCCCCCCGTGCGGTTTGCAACAAGGAGAGGCCCAAAGAAAAGAAGAGAGCTAAGGAGGAAGACAAGAAACGCATCATCCTGAATGATGCTGATAAACCAAAAATATGCCATCAAACAATGAGACTGTCTAAGCTGGTGTGATGGTGCAACAGTACCCTCGCCAATCTAGTACTAGAAGAAGGAACTAAGACGTCAAATCTAAGCTGGCCACGGCTCTGTACTGATAGCTCCAACGCTTGCAACGATCACCGACTCTTCCTGTCCTGGTCCTGGATGGATCCAAATTTCTCAGGATGTGTGACCGCACCTGCGTTGAGCTTGCGGGTCGGTTGCGCGACCTTGTTTCAGACCCGATTGATAAAAACAGACGGCGCATCTCGACCGAACGATCGAACCCTTCTTTCGGAGCCCAAGTCTTTCAAGAAAGACCAACTGAAGGCCCCGAATGCTTTGAAACTGCACCTCTGTGGCTTTATCTAGCCAGCGCCTCGCAGCCACTGTCAAGCCGAAGCGGAGCACCTCATCTTTCACTACAATTTTCATTGTCGCTTGCGATCCAGGTTTGGATAAACAACTAGACACCAAAAAATTTTATATCGGAAAATCAGATGTGATGTGTAGCTTCGGCAGCTTCGGTGCTGGTTCATGCGGACGTTGCAAATCCAAAAGATTCTATAGCTGGTTCCATTATAGCTTCTCCCCTTGTTCCATTATTTGGTTGTCTAACAGGTTGGCAAGGCATTGCGTTTCATTACCAAAAAGTAAGTAAATAGTTGCACACACTTCGTCCTCGGTATCATGATCAACCGCATGTCTTCAATGATGCGAATGATATTTATCTGCTCTTTGATGGGTGCGATTAGCGTGCCTCTGGTATCTGCAACTCCTGTTGATTTGTCGGCGGAATGGCAAGTGGATCCAAAGTACAATGCCAACGAAGCCTATTGCGAGCTTCAAAATATGGTCGGGGTGAATAGCATCATGGCCTATGCCATCATCAAAGATGGAAACATCATTGCGGAAGGCTATGGCGAAGGACGCTCGGCTGCGGGAATCTATCAGCCATGGTCTGTCACAAAATCTATTGCCAACATCATCATTGGGCTCATGATCACGAATGGGGATGTGGCAGCGAACGATACCTTGGCAACCATCTTTCCAGATCCCAACGATTGGATCAATGTCTCTGATGCACCAGCAAAGATGACCCTGAAGCTTTCCGAGTTAATGAGTTTCACTTCTGGGTTGACTCGGGGTGGGCTAATCATTGGTTACGCCACACTCCGAGAAGAGCTCGCTTCCCTAATGTACGAGGAGGAGAACCGTGAGACGTGGATCTATCTGAGAGACGATCACATTTTCTCCTGGATCATTTACAAGGTCACCGGGATGACTCCTCGTCAGTACGCTCTGTCACTTGATTTTTTCACCAAACTCGGGATCAACGAGACCGAGTACAACTGGGGCACATTTGGTGTGGAGCCGCTCAAGCTCGAGACAACGGCTCATTCCTTTCAGACCAATGTCCGCCAGTTGGCCAAGTTTGGTCAACTCTACTTGCAAGGAGGTGTCGCTGCTCCAGGCGGCGAGCAGCTGATTGCGCCGAGTTGGATCACTGAATCAACGACTTCTCAACCGGAAGAAGGATACCCCCAAGGATACTTATGGTATCCTACTTCACGCGGATACGAGGCGAGGGGAATTTTCGGTCAGTACATTTCTGTGATTCCGTCGAGAAACATTGTCATTGCGGCATTACGACGGGACTGCATTGGCAGTAGTAGAGGCTTTATCGATGCGGCTCATTCTCGATTGGACAAATTGGACAACGGCGTGGATGGTGCTTGCCCTGAAAGCCTTTGGGATCGGGTGGTACCTGACTGGGCAAAAGTTGGCATGTCGTTGGTTACAGAGTCCGTTTTTGGTGACGACCAATCAAGTCTGGACTATTACCCGAGCAATCACCACTTGCGATCCCCCTAAGGCTAATGGCTGGCTGGCTTCCGCGTCTCACTCAAAATGTAATGGGACAACACAAGTGTAGCTCGAATGAATGCTGAACGACCGGTTCCATCTTTCTTTGTTCACTATGCCTCTCTAATATCCAATCAACTTTGTCTCTATCTTTCATACTTTTTCTACTTGTACTTACAGTATTTATTTACTTACTTACGCAAACAAACTCTGAATGACAGTCGCCGCTTGCAATCGTTTCAAATGATGATATTTTTGTCCCGTTCCGACAAACAAAATGGGCGCTCCGGTAATATGCGTCAGTGTGAGTGCCGCTCCGACTTTATCGGAAACAGTATCGAATTTCGATAAAATGACGGCATCAATTTGTCGTTGGGCGGATTGCATGGCCCGATTGAACATTTGCAATTGCGTGACACCGTCATTGCCGACCAGTGCTTCTGCTACCAGTAGGATCAAATCGGGTTGTGTTTCCGTGACGAGTTTCCCCAATGCCGCCATGAGGGGGGCATTGTTTTGCATGCGTCCGGCCGTATCAATCAAGACGACATTGGGTTTATCATTGTCGTCATTATCATCGTCTTGTGCCATGACTTGGGCAATGGCAGCCTTGGCCACGGCACTGGGATCTTTGGCATATCCCTGTTGAAACATTGGGACTTGGAGGCATTTGGCATGGACATTCAATTGTTCGACGGCTCCCGATCGAAAGGTATCTCCGGCAACGAGCAGTGGTTTGAGTCCATGGGATTGAAAGTAATAGGCCAATTTGGCGAGTGATGTGGATTTGCCCACGCCGTTAATACCGACATTTACAACGACGTAGGGTTTTGTTTTTGTAGAAGAGGAAGAAGCAAACATGCCTTTTTGGGTCTTGGTCATGGCAGCGCGAATGATATCGAGATTGCCATCTTTGGACGTGCGTCCTCGATTCAATATTTTGGTAATGGCAGCTTCCAATGCCTGTCGAACGGCCGTTTTGACGCGAAAGAAGGAATTCAATCGTTTTCCGACGAGTTGTGTTTGTACGGAATCGCAAATTTCCTTGGCAACGGATTGGGCCACATTTTTGGTGGTGAGCAATTTCTGCATTTCTTCCAACGGCACTTTCAAATCTTGTGCTGTGAGTATTTTATTGCCCGTCATTTGCCCAAAAACGGATTGCAACGAGGATCCCCAGGAATTGTCGTCGTCCTTCAAAGTGGGAGTTTCTTCTTCCTCCTCTTCGTCGTCTTGCGTGAAATTGGGCAAATATGCCGCTCTGGCTTCGGCAATGGCTTGTTCGGAGGGATCCATAATGGAATTGTTATTGTCATTGCTCGTGTTGTTGGCCGTGTGACTGTCTGGCTTGGAAAAGTCCAATTGGGCCATGGCTTGTTTCGTCACTTTGGCGTCTCCCCACGTTCTCTTTTCTTTTCCCTTTTTATTATTGGCACTAGCAGTTGTGGTGGTGGTGGTAGATGGTTTGTCTGCAGCATTGTCTGCTGATGGTGGCTGTTGCTGAAGATTGCTTTTTTGTTGCTTGGATTGTTCCAATAAGGCTTGAAAGGTTTTATCGAATCCTTTGGGATCGGGACACATGGGCAATAACGTGGCCAAGTGATCTTGATCCTCTTGATCTTGTAGATTCAACAGCATGGCCTGTTCATACAATGCATATTCCTGCAAACACTTGTGTAGCAACGCTTGAATCCATCCCTTCATGTAACTGCGCGGTCCTTCAAAGAGAATATCGGGATACAAGGCGACGGCAAACTTGTCTTTTTCGGAAACACTCTCCACCAAGACAGCAATACTCCGCGCCGCTGCAGTCACGGCGGCCATGCTCTCGTGGCGTTGTTCTACGGCTGTAACTTGTTTGCGACCCAGCATGGTCTGTTGGAGCCAATCGTTCAATTTCGATTCCGTCAAGGCAGCCGAATTGGCCGCTCCTTCTCCCGCACCCAACAGCGACGGACTTGCACGGTACTGATACAAGATCAGACCGCCCTTGTTGAAGATGGTTATGGATTCTAACATGGTCTGTAATAGGATCCCCAACAAAAGTAAAAGTAAGGTTTGTGTGGTTTTGTGGTTTTGCTTGGTTGCTACATCGTGGGAGGTTGTGGCTGAGTCACTGGGTTTAGCCTTCACCTTATCCGATACTAGTATCTTTTCCTAATTCAATTCTAAAGAGAGGAAAAAGCCTTATGAAAAGAGATCTTCTGTAAGTATAATAAATCTTTGACATTCTATTCAGTCACAGAACATCGAGAGACAGCCATGCCAACGTTTTATGTTATGAAACTGGTCTTTATCTTCTTATGCTTTCAAGTCTTTTACCGGTAGTTTTTCGTTTGGTACCGCACACACACATATACATAGTTACAGAACTTTTTATTTGTAGTCCGTGCCAAGGCAGTGGCTGTGAATGGTGCGCTGCAAAATGTCGCCCTGGTATTCGTAAAGGACATCACTGCGTTCCTTGCAGCAAGTGGGACCCGTAATGGCGACTGTCACGTAAGGTGCCTTGACGTACTGCCAGTACCCAACACCAACCGACAATCGGTCATTGCAACGGGGCTGCTTCTGATAATCCAATTCGTCCGTGTACATGGTCGTCAAAGACTTGGTCAAGTAGTCGCCGTAGCTCAGTCCTGCCACGGCGTCGAAGCCTGCCGCAGCCTCTTGGTGGGCATCCACAGAGACGGTGACACAGGCATTTTGAGTTTGGCCCATACAAAGAGCCACGCTGGTGGATGCGGCAAAATTCAATGCCATGTAACCAGACAGTCCCACAGAAGCGTCAATATCAATGTCCGTGTAGAAATCGTTTCGTTTCGTTTTCACTGTTCCCTTGGCCAAGTCCAAGATCACCTGTGTCTCTCCAATGCCATACCCAAACGATGCCTTGGCGGCTCCTTCAATGGCCATGGCATAGGGCATTGCCGCCTTGAGAGATCCCGTCAGCACGATATTGACGGCGCCTTGAAAAGGGGGGACAGGGATGATTTGAAAGTGCTCCAGGGCTTCATCAAAGATGCTGTCCGCAAAGCCAGTTCTGTCGGAGGAATCCAAAGAGAACGTCTGGTTGAAGTCTTGCGTGAAAATGAGCTCCAAGGAGTCAAAATCAATAAAATCGGACCCCTTCTCTCCCAACTTTCTCTCATGGAACATTTCTTGCACCCTTTGGGCATACAGCTCTTCAAAACGGGCTGCCCCCTTGACATGGGCTGTTTCAATGACGTGATCAATATACGCTTGATGCCCATCCTCAAACGTGGCTTCCAGCATGCGTCGCCTGTCATTGAGCCCAAGCAAGTTCTTGGCACCCTTGGCAACCACATCAATGGATTGGAGTTTGTCGGAAACATAGTTCACCTTGTCCTTGATGGCATTCATTGCCTTTGTGATCTCCTCTTTCACCTCCCCGTGAACTTGTTTGTAGATATCCAAAGCAAGATCGCGGACATGACTCAGCAACTTGTCAAGACCAGCCGCTTTTAACTTGAATGCTCCAAACTGGATACAAGTACTAGGGTACAAGTCTGTGCCAATGCTGACCTTGGGGGTGGAGTACAACACGATATCCTCCAGCTGCAAACCAAATTTCTCTGCAAGACATGTCCAGGGAACACAGAGTGGCTCTTTAAAGGGCTCTGCAAGGGCTTCGGAAATCTTGCCAGCCAGCTGAGCACCACTGGCCGGAATGAAATTAAGATCCTTGATGAACTCCACAATATCGTCCGCCACACCATCGGCAAAGGACTCAATCTCGGTGATCTTGGATGTTGCAGCTGAAACAGATCCGACAATTGGATTCACCACTCTGTTCTGGAGCAAGTTGGGAAGGTTGGCCCACTTGGCGGCAAGTTCCGCATGGTCTGCTGTCAGTTTGGCTAGATCAGCCGTCTTTGTAGCAAGCTGACTGGTCTTGGTGGCAAGTTGGTTGGTCAGACTCGTCACTTGGTTGATCTTTGTAGCAAGTTGGCTAGTCTTGGTGGCAAGTTGGTTGGACAGACTCGTCACTTGGTTGGTTTTGGTGGCAAGTTGGTTGGTCTTGGTGGCAAGCTGGTTGGTTTTGGTGGCAAGTTGGGCGGTCTTTTCCGCAAGCTGGGAGTTCAAGTCTGAAATTGTGGTAGCTTGCGCAGCGATATTATTGTCTAGGTTGCCAATGTGACCGTTCAGGTTCGAAATGTGTTGGTTGCTGTTCGCCACATCTTTTTTCAGATCTTAAACCTCATCCTTTAGTTTGTCAATTTGTTTCTTTAGCGCTTTGATTGGGTTCGAGCCAAGTCGCCTCTGAAATTGGGGGGAATCCTCATCGTTTGCAAATTCAAGCTGAAGAGCGTTCTAAATCGAGGGCGAGCGAGAGTGTAGAGTTGTGTCAGCTGGAGAGACTGATCAAGCTGCAGCAGAACAAGCAGGACTATGTATATCCACTCATGGCAACACAGGCTTTTTCTTACCGAATCGAAATCAGAGCTGGAACTGTCAATGGCAGCAGCCTCCAAGGAGAGCTCACCGACAAAACCCGTGGAATTAGATTTGAAGGCAAAGGGAGCAAGGACGAAGCCTCCAAGGGAACCAAGAAGAAAGGCCAAAAGGATCTTGGCATTGGCGTTCATGTTGATGGCGGCTATTTTCGTGGAAAGGATGGCGAAAGTTTACAGGTAGTCGGGACTGTTGTCTAGAAGCCAGCTATCTATTGGTTGCTTTGGAATGATGTCTCTTCGAGTTGCGGGCTCTTAACCTTTCGACGCGAAACAAACTGGAATGGCTCGATGCTTTGCTTGGGATGTCTCTTCGTTTTGTGAGCTCTTCAACACAGCAGCGAAAAGAGCAAGAGATGCCTAACGATGCACTACAAACTGGAAGGGCTGGTCAGTTGGTCATCCGTCTCAGTTCCCGGCTCGAATGGAACTGAGTCATTAGGATATTTAAGGGCTCACTTTGCATCTTTCATAAAAGACTGCAGAGGGTTGCGAGGCGTCATTTTACGGAAACAGACTAAGCCAGTGAAGATTCAATGATAAATTAGCAGTTGACCAAGATGTCCCCAGCGGGATTAAATAAAACTCAATAATAAGAATAGTTTAACCTTTTAGAGGCAATAGCACTTGAGCTTTCCAATCAATCTTCACTATTTTGCTACCTGGTACTCATTTCCTTCTACAAAAACAAGCCAATTTCAGTAATAAGTTTTCTTATTTTATACTCCAGTACTACCATATGGTAATAAAGGTACACGAGGACCTCATCCCAGAATTCCAGACCTTCTGGGTTGCTTGCTGTGATAGCTTCCTCCTCCTCCAATACACGTGTACCGTACCACATCTTGAGCATTGGCTTCTTGGAAACATGTGGGACCTCTTCTTCACTGCCACTCATGACTGGCTAGATATCTCTGAGAACAACAGTCTTGTCATGACGAAAGCCATCTGGCACTGCAGTTTCTTGGCTTATGCAGCCACAGCACCAGTTAGCCGAGGCAGCCACCGTACTGGGTTATTCTCTTTCAAAGTTCTTGATTCTGTTGGAATCTGCGACTATCGCTATTCATATACTAGTATATCTTAATTACAAGGGTAAATCGTGCATATTATAGGTGCACTTTCTGAGCCTTAAGCCTTGAGGAGAACTGTCGTGACCCAGGAAGACGACGTTATAAGTGTAGCTTAGGTAAACGTATGGTAACATTTATCTAATATTTCCGCACCTACCTGAAACCAAAGCAACTGTGATTTTTGGAGTACTGGTAGGCAGCGAGGTTACTACCGGTACTAGTAGTATCTACTGTGTTACCAGTAGAACGTACAAAGAAATGGCTCTGTGAGTCCAGGATCGCTGCGGCTGGACGGTTGCCGGCTGGACAGTTGATAGCTATTGGAAGCATCCAAAACAGGATCAGAATGGCTGCTTGGTGAAGGGCTGGTCTGTCCGTACCAAGTATATTGATGTGCTTTCTCGTGGTTCTGGCGCCACTGCTTCAACGATGAGCCCTCTGCATTGGGACATTGGTGGTTCAGCACTAGTCATAGCCCTCTGACCCATTCAATCTTCCTTGGGCTCCACCCTTTCCTCCTCCTTCAGTTGGTCTGCTTAGTCTTGGCCGTCCAACTACCGTTCTTGCACTGAGCATTGCATTGCACCTCTGACGTCCATTCTTCCCACCCATAGTCCGCGCTAGCCAAATAGTACGACTACTTTTCTAGCTAACCGTATTCCTTTAGCTGCTTGGTAAAGGGCTGACCTGTCCATGCAAGCATTTTAATGCTGCTTTCGGGAATACAATTAGCTAAGTATTGGCCCCAATTCAGGGCTTTTCAGGTGGAGCGGATGGGCTCGGGCTGTTGTTAGCGGCGGGGTGAGGCTGGCGGAATTTGCTCTCTGCATACCGGTAGACCGGTACCGGTACAACTGCTGAGGAGGCGATGGCCAACCCCAACCATTCTACGTTCTGCATGCTCGTAAGGCAAAGATCTTGAAATGTCTGCTTCTTGTCTTGTCGCCAAACAAAATGGATGAAATCAATCGCTCTTTGCTTGTTGAAAATCATTCGGATGAAAGATACGGCAGGTTCTCGTCGTCGGCGATCATCGTGGTGTATGGGATTGTCGACTCGGCTGATTCAAGGCAAAATCATTCTGGAAAATAGGGGACTTTCTTGCGGCGAGGCTGTGTTGCAAGGATGCCTTCACATCTTGCACGATGAGGCATGGACCTGTTCTTAGTCTAATTGATCCGAATCAAAGCAAGAGAGACAATAATTGAATCTGAAAATATGTAAAACATGTCGTGATGTTGCATGCCGCCGAGGCCTACACGAGCCAATGATCTTCAGATCATAAAACAGCGTTTTTTGCCATCGTACTGTACCGTAAGCATACCGTAAGCTCACTACTACCATGTAATTTCAGCAAGGGTTCGGCTGCAAAAGCCGACCAAATGTCTGGAACTGCATGAACTGCACCTCACGATGGAGCTTCACTCGAAACCGCAAACAGCCAGGAGCAAGACAGCAAGGAGCAAGCTTGGTGACGCAATTGGGCCACGGAAAGGCGATTTTCGGCTTGTGCGCCTGAAACCCGACATCTTGCCGCGGATGACAAAGATTGTACCGAACACGCAAACCCTGCAAAGCCCCCAGCTTAATAATGGCCTTATGAGCAACAAGAAGTTGCTGTCTGGAAGGCTCGGACAAAAAGTCGTCACCCAAGCACAGAAGCAGCCACAAACAGAGTTTGTGCTTCCTCTGTTGCTTGATTGACATGTTCCCAATCAGAACTAGCATCCCACATGGGGCCCACCAGAAATTCCTCAGTATCAATAAAGGGGATGCCAAATTCGAACGAGACTCGTTTGAGAATGGTATTGTAAGAGTCCAAGACAAGTGGATTGCGATAGTCTGTGGCTGGACAGTCATTGATCCCATATCGCAGTGGTAGGGAATTCAGAGATTGCACAAAGACTCTCACGTTTCGTGCCACAACTTGCGGGTGTTTGGTCACTATGTGGAGCATGCCCTTGGTCAGTTTGTAAAACTGCTTCAAAGTGTAGGGGTGCCCTTTGGTATGGTGGCTGGCGGGCCAGTGACCCACGGATGCCACCATGCTCGTGCAGCGATGTCGGTCCATGAGATCTGTAATACTTGCTTCTGTGACATTTTCTGGAAAGGTAGTCCACAGGTGGTGGAATGCAACATTGGTGTTGGGAAGGTCAAAGCCCATTTCTTTGGCCCTTTCATGCATGCTCCTGCTGTGGTCGTCACCAATGAGACAAATGTTGTTCGCTTTAGATTGTCTTAAACTCTGTGCACTGAGTGGCGTCTCCTGGTTCCAGTGGAATTTGTACGGCTCGAATCGTTCTTGATTGCATTCTGCGGGATGCTCTTCCTCTTTCCATCCATCTAGTTGGTATCTTGTATAAACTGGTTGTAACAAATGTTTGTCATTTGTCCTTGAGCCATCTGGTGGCTGCTTGTAGCCTTTCTTGTAGCCTTTGTTATGCCAGAATCCTTTCCATGCTGGTTGTGGTTGCTTACTCTGGCTGGAGGGAGTTCCTGCAGTTCCGGATATCCAAATGGAACTTCCCTTTTGTGTGATTCGATTCTTGGCCGAGTTTTCCACGCAATGTCTGGCATAGTCTTGTCCCATGTAATGGGCCAGTTCTGGTCTGGAGTCGATCCAGTCCTTGGAGGGATCATCCTGGTGTATGGGATTATCTGGCTGATTCAAGGCATAGAAAAAGTTGTCACAGAAAACAACAATAATCTCCAAGGCATAGTAGGAAGCCTGGCTTATAATAATGGGAACCTCATATCGACTCGTCAAGGATGTCACGGCCAATTCCCCATAACTGCTGTGTGATTGCCATTTCCATGGTTGCAAGCGTATCAGTGCCGGACCCGACAGTCGTCCAATCAAGTAAGGACGAGGGCAACGAGCATTTATCTTGAAGGTCACGGTAATTTCAGCCTTGTCGGGATCATGTTCAATGGCCACCACATCCTCGGCAACGGTGTTGTCCAGCTCCAAAGGAACGATTTGCAAGTTTTCCTTGGCACCACCGCTACTTTTCACGCCACCCGCAAGTTTCTGTACAATTATTTGCTGTGGATATGTTGTGTTGCTTGGATTATTTGGCTTGGCAGCAGCGGGACTGGGTTTTGTGGATGCAGACTCGGTATTCTTTGAAAAAATGTATGCTTGTATTTGGATGACGCCACGTGTAGACGATTGAAGGCCCACTGACAAAAGAACCAATATCATCGCCACCACTACTGCGGTCAATGCGCGGGGAGAAAATATTCCACATCGAAACTTTGTGGTGATGGACCTGGCGGCAACCGCTGATTTCTTCCTTCCTATCGGCAACGCATGACTTTCTTTCTTTGCTTCTGATGAAAAGTAGTAATTCCGTCGAACCATGGATGCTCAGAAGAAGCGCAATTAAGCTACCGTACGGGTCGTCGCATCTCTGGTATCATAGATAGGCAACATTGTACATGCGTTGAGGGTTGGAAGAAGATGCGACTTGACTCGACTCGACTTGATGGACTCATTCGATCAGCCGCGAAAAATGAGCGCTGCAGCTCCCCTGGCATGTGGGAGTCACAAAATCTCTGCGCCTCCGTTCCACTCGACAACTAATACATACGTGGTAGTACACTAAGAGTCTAGAGTTAGTCAAATGGTCCTTTAGTTGCTCCGACTTGCTGCTTGATAGCCACTACATCTTATTCATACTAGTTTACTATTATGTAGTTTTGAAACTGTCTAGGAGGTTTGCAGTAGAAAGCTCTGAAAAGCACTCTGGAGCTTCCTATGGCTGGACATGAGTGTACTAGCTAGAACTTGATCTAGTTATGCATGTATTTTAAAGTCTCACTTGTCTTCAACCCGGGCTTCTTCCAAGGCATCGTTCTGGAGATTGATTCATTCTCTATTGTCTCCAAGCGCAGATGCTAGCTAGAAGGCTTGCTTGGCCTGCGTAGTAATTGGTTGTGGACAGAACACCCCTACACGCTATTCACTGCTTCTCGTTAGGAATTCTAGCTAGCTAGTTGATAAGTATCAAAGCAAAATATAGACAAATTGAAACTGAAACTATAATTTAATGTGGCGTGATCTTGCATGCTGCCGAGGCGTAGCTATACACGAGTTTTACCAGTACTGGCCTTCCGACAATAGATTGGTAGCTTAGCTCACTACGTACCGGTACTGACTACCACGTAATTTCCACAATCTCGGCTTTATCGAGTTCCGGAAAGAACATTTTCTGATTTTCATCTTTTGGATCAAACTTGGGTCCAAACGGATTCATCATTGGCATCATGAAGGAGAACATGGTCGAGATGGGGACCATTTTGTGACTGGGTTCGGGAACAATGGAGGGGTCAAAGGCATCGTTCTTTCGCCAGTTCATGATAGGATCGGCAGGTTGGTAGGGGTCATTATTATTGTCATTGTCATTGACAACAGTAATACAATTGCGATTGAGACCAATCATCTTGGGGAGAGCAAATCCCACCATGGTGCCACAGCAAGTTGTGAACAAGCGCATATTTTTGCCACTGTCTCCCACCTTGACAGCTCCCAATACGCCATTATTGTTGTTGTCTTCTCTTTTTACCGAATCCGCCACGGTGTACTTGACCAGTTGATCCGGTTTGAAAAACGTAAAGGCGGCACCGTGATTGACAATCCCGGTGGTGCCTCCTCCCTTATTGTGTTTCTCGTCCACATAGCGACAGCAAGCCACACAGGAATGGCAATGGCAATTCCCGTCCAAGAGCGGTTCACCACTCAGCTCAAACTGGACAGACTCACACTTGCATTTGAACAGCATACTAGTACTAGTACGACCAGGCTCTGCTGCACCTGTCATCTTTCCTCCTCCTCCTTGACTCAATTATTGGATGATAACAATTCCTTCTTGCTTGATTTTTTTTTGTCGTTGTGACGCTTCTGCTTGGCTTCAAAAAAGATCCTGAGAACCCTCTTCTTCTAAGATACGCATTTAGGGTCTGGGGTAAATATGTACGAAGCCAACAAAGCCAGCACTACCGGTACCGGTAACCGGTACATGCAGGACCAGTGGAGCTTTGTTCACCGGCAGAACATGTAGTACGTCTTTATTTGTTTCCACGGTACGGTACCGGTAGTACGGCGCAGCGGCTACATCGTACATGTACTGGTAGCTGGTTTTGCTGTCTATATCCACCCATTCGGAAGACGCCGCACCTCTGCGGTCGATCCTTTTAGTTGGGAAAGATACCGTTACATGTACCGGTACGGTACGACCGTAGGTAGCCATGTAGGTGCGTCTGTGGAAAATGGCATTCCTATGCATAGTACGGTACTAGTTGCTTGAGCTGCAAGTGACAATCAATTAGCGTCAGGTACCGGCACGGTTGATCTCCTGCCTATAATTATTTTTCAGCACAAAGCTTGCATAGAACTCTAGCAATCAAATTTATTTGCTCTGTACTAAACCTTCTGTAACCAAAAAGACAAAAGATTGTTGGTTATTGAATGCACTTCTTCCCCATTGTGGCATCCAGCACCTCCAGGTTGACTTAACTGGAAGCTTGGAAGGTTGAGATTGGAATGGTAAAAATTCAAACATATGTTTAAAAAGCCATGGCATTTGAAAACCATCAACATGGGGCGCACAGTTGCCCCAAAAACATGCTTCCGTCAAAAATCGACCTTAAGTCGCCAGGTCGGAAATTTTATGCTCTATCCAGCCATGTAGTTGAAAGTAACGTGCGAGGGTTAGAAGAGATATCGCGAACCTATATAGCTAACGACAGCAGTTGACGCGATCATTAACAGTGGATCAACTTGTCAAATTCGATTAGGCTTGCTCTTGGATGACTGGCGTGTGATTTGAACATTACTTAAGGAATAAAAGAAAGTTCGCTCACTTTTTCCCAAAACAGCGATAACTTGCTACCGAGCCAACATACGAAAAGACGAAACGGCGAATATAGATAAAACACGCTGAACGAAGAAAGGAGCGCACAATGACAACGTTTTCGATGCAAGTGCGCTATGTCAACACCACCAGCAAGTAGAGCCAATGCCACCGCCCCCACTGGCGCAGCCAGGAGTACCACCAGGGAAAAGAGGAGGAGCCCAGTGGCTGAGATTCACTCTGGAAGGAAGAAACTCAAGAAATGTGGAGAAAAGGAGGAATGGGAGAATTTCTCTGACATCGAGTCTTTCTTCTATGAGTTGACTGACAGGAGCGAAGCTTGTGCAGACATGGATGTTCCAGGAAGGTTTAGTCAATGCACTTGCCTGCATGATGCTCGCTGCAAGCTGAGTGATGAAGGAAGAGTTGTCATGATCCAAAGTCTTTTTGACTTTGCGCTGAAGGAAGCAGATGAACAAAAGCTTCTGTTAGTTGAATGGTACAGGTATGCCCAAGCCTTTGGACAGCACAAGGATTACAAGCGGAGGGCCTACTTGCTCCCTGGTACCAGCTTTCCAGTTTGTAAGCATGCCCTTTGTACAATGCTGGGGGTTGGTTCAACCAAATGGCGAAACATCAAAGCAATAGCAGACAAGGGGAAGCCACTCAGGCACGGACTGGCTGGAAGGCCAAGCAACCGACGCAACATTGGAATGGATCTGGTCATGGAGGAGTTTTTCACTGGGATGGAAGCCATGGGAGTTCCTCGAGCGACACGGATCATTCGCGAACTTGTACGTGGACAAGTTCAAACTACTCTACGCGAAGATGACGAAGACGTCGTGGAGCTTCCTGCCTGCTACTCTAGATACTTCTTGTACAAGAGGCTCCTGACGGAGTGCGGTTGGAAGTACACATATACTCCGAAGGGACTCATTGTGGAGAAAGAAAAGATAAGTGATGATGCACTCGAGAGTGCTCCTTCTTGGACAACCTTCCGACTGTATTGGAAGAAGAACTTTCCAAAGATGGTCATTCACAAGCCAAGAGAAGACGTCTGCGGCGACTGCTATGTCTTTGCCAACTCGCACAAGTACCAGACAAAGTTGAAGAAGGCAAGCGATCGTCTTGCAGCCAAGAAAGCGAATACTGATGCTGACAGTGATTCTTCTTCTGAAGAAGAAGACGACGAAACGAAACACCTGGAAGAAGTCATCGATCAAGCTACAGAACAGGAGATCCAAGACATGCTAGACAACGAGACGATGATCAAGGATGCAGCCAAGCATGTTGAAATGGCCCAGATCCAGCGACAGTTCTTTCGTGTCAAAAAAAAGGAAGCCTATGACACCAGTGACCTTCCAGCGGCCAATCGATCGCTTTGCTTTGTTGCGGATTACTCACAGAACATGTATGTTCCTAACTTTTCTTCAGAACAACCCGGTGAGACATACTATCTAAGCCCCATGAACGTCAACGTCTTCGGTATTGTGGATTGCAGTCGACAACAGCCTACCTTGTCGGCACTTGCCTACGGTGAAGACCAAGCGAAGAAAGGTGGCAATGATGTGGCAAGCCTACTTATGTTTGAACTGGACCGTCTTGGTCATCTTGACACGCAAGTTCCTTACAAGGAGATTAACTTTGTAATGGATAACTGTGGGGGGCAGAACAAGAACAGGATGGTTCTTCGACTGCTACACTATTTGGTGAAAAGAGGTATCTGTTTGATGGCGAGAGCTTCTTTTCTTGTGAAGGGTCACACAAAGAACGACTGTGATCGCCTGTTAATCTGTTGAAGAAGGAATGGAGGCAATCCAACACGTACACACCCAAGGACCTTGTGGAGACGGTTGGCAAGCACCGACTCATTGATGCCATCCATGTTCAACAGAAAGTGTTCCGCGACTATGACAAGCAGCAAGCTCCCCTTATCAACATTCCCACAGGCCAGATCAAAAAGAACCATCAGTTCACGGTTTACGCAAACAGAGAGGACAAGGGCAATGACATGTACTTTGCAGAGTACCACGGAGCAGAGGAAACATGTCTTAAGATGGTCAAGGACGACTACAGAGGACAACCAATGGAATGGTGGAAAGGAATGGAACCACCTGAGGCATCCAAGCCAACCGGCATAAAAGACATCAAGTGGAAAGAACTGTATGAGAAGTGGGGCAAGGTTGTGCCACAAGAGAAGAAGAAAGGCTTCAAATACTATGAAGAAGCGCCATCTGCAGAGAAGCTAGCTGCTATTAAAGAACACACAAAGCAAGCACGAGAGCTTCGACAGTCGCGACAAGCGACAACTGTGGAGGATAATACCACCATGGTTGCTAAGCAAGCAACCAGACCAGTGATCTAATGCAACTGTAAGTGCAAATGACGATTTTTCTAGTTGCACGATTGCGTTCCACCATGGCCGTTGTGAGCTAACAACGTTTTTCGCGTTTATCTCGACTCCACTTTTTTACCAGGTGGGGCAGGTGTGCATCCGATGTTGATGCTTCCTAAGCACCATGGCTTTGTTTTCTGAAAACAATACTAGTAGATTATGCCTGAAGCTCGGAAAAGCCAGCGCAGCAGCACGATTCAGGACAGTAAAGTGTTTACAAGAAAAGAGAAGCGGCTTTTGTGTCCACTATGACAATAAAAAGTTTACAAGAAAAGAGAAGCGGCTTTTGTGTCCACTATGACAATAAATTTTTACGACGAGAAATAGGACGAGCAGTTACTATTAATAGTATTACGAGAAAATAGGACGAGAATGAGTAGAGAATGCCTTTAAGCCACATTAAACTAGCTAGTCCTAAAGGTGCCGGTGTTCTCGTACAGGCGTACGGGTACCACAGCTTTAAAAATATTGATTCGACTTCTTTGGTTCACTTCTACGAGCGCACGCGCTGCGCGTACAACTAAATCTTGCCACAATGATGACCTAGTGAGTTAGTCGTTTCACCAAAACCAGACCCACGACTTTAATCATAGAAGACAACGGGTACCGTACGGTACTACTCTAGTACACTGATTTCGTGTTTTCGGAATGGCTATTTTTTAAAAGCATTAGGATAGCTCGCCACTCTGTCCTTAATCGTATGTCCGCAGTCATGACTTGAGTTTTGAGACTCAAGTCAGCACACACAAGTCATGATTTTGCACTCAGCCCTTTGACTTGGGTCATGGTCTTTTTGCCAAAATGCATGCTCAAATCATTGCAAAATCAAATTTCATTTGAAGAATGATGGAATCTACGAGTGGGTTCTCTTTCTAAAGTGCTGACTCCACTCAAATCAAATCTCATAACTCAAGTCATGACTCCGGATTACAATCCATTGTGCGGACACTAGAATGTGACACTGGCATGTCACAGCGGCCAAGCTAAAGCCGCAGGAAAGGAACTGCAGCCACACCAATCGGTGGGGCTGGTCGCCCTTCCATCTCGTGTCCACCGTACTGTACTGCACCACTCCAAAGCATGCAGGCCAAGAGCCTCTTGGTGCCCGGACCGTGAAGCGCTGGTCTGTTCCACTTGGAAATAGTAATCAGGAGCTAATCAGGTAGCTTTCCTGGACTGGCCCATGTCATGGGGTCTCAATGGGTAAGGTATGCAGGGCTGAAGTTTGCGGTTTCTCAAGCAAACAAGGTACAAGTAGGAGCGTCACTGCAATCAGAACACCCTGGTTTCTCATTTCTTTCTCACTAATCTCATTTCTTTCTCAGTCCACTCAATCATACAATAAAGGAATCCAATCCAATCAATCTTTGAAGAGGCTGATCAGCACGGTACTAGTGGAACAACATGAAGACAATTTCGGCTCTCTTCTCGACATTGCTGTTCGTGGCTGTCTGGGACTTGTTTACCAGGACCTCCCAGCAAGCCGATGCCATTGCTGCCAAGTCAATGAGCCCAGCAGTTTCTGGGAACCAAAGGCGCACCGAGCCAGTCGAAAAGAAACGGGAGAGGCTCTTGGAGGGAGGTCTCTGCCCAAGCTACTCAACTGACAATGACAAATACAAGTGGACTACAGATGAAGGCCGCTGTGTCTATGAATATTGGAAGAAGCATTATGCACCTTCTTCCCCGTCTGGCTTTCAAGGCACCGTTCTGGAGATGGGTGTTGTTCAAGGCTCCAGCAAACTGGGTGAAGCCCATTCCCACGCGATTCAGTACGAACTTGGTTGGGACACCATCCTGGTGGAAGCCAACCCGGAGATGGAGCCCTTTATCCGAGAGAATCGCCCTGGCGCAACACTTCATATGACTCCAATCTGCTCCAAACCTACCACATTGCACTTTCGAATCACCGACATGGTTGGGCTCAATGGATTTGCTGAATTCCACGATGAAGAGGTGTTTCAAACCAAGCTCAAAAGCAGAAATGGAAAAATCGTGAAAACAATCCCCATGCAATGCCAACCCATGGCACCTTTGCTCAAGGATGTCCCAGTCATCGATACGTACTTTCTGGACGTCGAGGGCGCAGAGTTGATGGTGCTGGAGTCCATTGACTTTTCGGATACTTGCATCCAAATCTTCAATATCGAGGATGGCGATCCCTCCAGTAGCGGAGTGGGAACGTTTCTGACCAAAAAGGGGTTCAAACATGTTGGCTGGAATACAGAACAGTATAACCATGTCTGGGTGAACTCCAAGACGTGTCGCCCCTCTCACTCAGCATATCCTTTCACTTGGATGGTGAGCTTTGGTTTCCTTGCGGGGCTTGTGGTGTACGCAGGATACCTAGCCAAGACGCACCCAGGGAAGTAATCCTACGCAATGGTGGTATCAAATAGCAATCCGTGAAGATGACTTGATGCATTTTGTCTCCTCCTGCACGGAGGGGACGTATCTCAAGGTGTGGCGCTTTCAAAGGTGCGCAGTGGTGCCTACTAGAGCCTACGTAGAAGGAGAATAAGCTGAAGTAACAAGTAGTTTCTGTCAGACAGGCAACGTCTACCCATTCTCTGGGTCGCTCGTTTCCAAGAAAGCCAGCAACGATACTGGCACCGTGCTGCGGCACCAGCCAACAAGGGAAACACGTACATATACCACGCTGATGTCGAAAAAACGCTCGACTCTTCAAACGCTCGCTGTAGGAACACTTCTCTTTCGTGACTCGGCTCTGGGTTCGATCCTCTATCCTTTTCCTCGTACGAATAGTCTATGAAACAGAGCTATTGTTGCCCAAAGTCGCGTACCAGTGGGACCTAGACTAGAACCTTCATCTTGCATTTTTTCTGGATGCTCCTAACATACACTTCTTGACGCTGTAGAGTAATAGCTAGAAAGTTGTAGTTTTCTGACCCCCTTATTCTCTGCCTGAACTAGCTTTGCAACTCGGTCATCAGGATGTTTGCATGCAGTAGAAAGAAGTTAAAAATCACTTGAGATTCCTATTGAATTCATTTTACTAGAGATATAGTGAGTCTGACTTTACTTCAACCAGATTTATCCTCTTCTTCCAGGGCACCAATGCATCATTCTAGAGATTCGATGCTCTATTGGCGTTACCGCCAAGCAAGGTGGTGCAGACCAGGTGCCGAAAGACAATGTCATGACGTCAACTTAGAAGACTGTCACTCGACTCGACTGGGACTGAATTAGTCCGGGTCACTCAGGCGGTGGTGATCACGTGAGGCGATGGATAAATACATGTACGATACTAGGCCAGGGTTCGTTAACCATCACTAGTGGCTGAGCGATATTTTGCTAGCTAGTGGTTAATGGATACGTCAACCTCATCCACATCCGTCAACCTCATCCACAAGGTCACCGTGGTGGATGACCAATCCACATCCACTCATCCACAACGTCACCGTGGTGGATGAATCGTAGTGGATGAGGTTGATTTACGTGGATGTTTTCGTGGATGTTTTTGTGGCGACTTGGTTGATCTTGTGGTTGATCTTATGGTTGCTTGACTCAAGAGGTTGTTGGGAATTACTATTGTCAATTGTCGTCCAAGGCACCGTCCAAGCCACCGTTCCAGCTACCGTCAGAGCAGCCTGTTGTCGAAGTCACGTACGATGGTGGAAGAAGACCATTGGGGTGCGAGCAAACTACACAAAGACTGGGAGGTGGGAGGGCACTACGAGCTTCTCTGTCAACTAAGGAGAGGAGCATAGAGTAGTGCAGTAGTAACTTATTCTAATCTAGCAATTCCTAGGTGCTGGGAGGATAGGGGAGCTTTGCTTGCATCTCGTGTTACGCGACCCCTCACAGCACCAGTGGAGATTAACAACCAGCAAACAAAAAAGGCCATGGTCGAGCAAAGAGGTTGATATTTTAAGCCACTGGATATGTATGCTCAACCTCTAAAATAAGCCAGCGGAGCTGTGTAACCTCGGCAGAAAGGTTTCAGTGTAGAAGCAGATCCCCCTATTAGCTAGCTACAGGAACGTTGTGGAATGGGCAGTCGTGTATACAAGATGGTTTGGAATTAAGACAAGATTGGAAATCTCGTTTTGTCCTAATTCTCGATTAGGACACGACATCTTGTCCTATAATTCTCACTAGACAAGATTGGGTGACAAGACTGGTAGATTTAAGACAAGATCACGAAACCAATGACAAGGCAGAAACCAATGACAGCCACTCAACAGCAACAATCAAAAGGAGACCATGGCCGACATCGAAGATGACTACGACGATGAGAACGACATAGGGCAGCTTGTGGTTCTCACTCCTAGCGAGATGCTAGAGAGGGGTTGCTGTTTGCCGATGATTCCATGAAGACTGTCGACCGTTGCAAGGAATCAACCAGCATCGAAAGGTTCTTGTCGCGATATGGAGCATCTCCAACCGTGCTGTGCGCCATCTTTGAAGATCTCCAACGATCTGAGAATGAAGAATGCCGCGTAGATTCTGGATCAATTCGGCTGGATTATTTTCTCATTTCCATGCACTTTCTCCGACAATATCCAACAGAGCATGAGCGCGCTGCAGCGACGGGATTTCATCGCGACACGTGCAGAGACTGGACTTGGTTTTACGTTGAGAGAATCCAACAATTGAAGC